TGTCAATTTATGACATTTGAAAGACCCCAGGAAGGGAAAGGGTTAATGGTAGCTGCACCAAAGGATGTCAAAGGAACTGTTGAAAAGGAGCTGGGAAAGGTGACAGGTCTCTGGCCACAGCCACTTGGGGAGGCTTCCCAAGGTCAAGGCAGGATGCTACTGACAGCCTCTCCTGCAGAAATGTTCCTTAAAGAACTGCAGTTCTTCAGAGAAAGAGGAGTCCAAGAGCCCTTGAAATTGTGGCCATGGCAGAGAGTCTGGCTGTGGACAATGACAGCAGTCTCCATGCCCGAGAGCTGGAGGGGAGCAGTTGTGGACCAGGGCTCATTTAGCTGAGCTCTCACCTGTGGAGAGGGAAGATCCTGGCTGTCCTGTGGTCCCAGTCTGATCAGCCCCTCAAACCAGTCCCTTGGGAAGAGTTCAGCCGGGGACCCTCTGTCCAGGGGCAGTTCCTCCATCTTTGTCCTCTTCCAAGGCAAGGCACTTTTGCCAAGGCTCTGGACTGGTTGACTTCACTTCTTGGCAACTAACCAAGGACTCTGGCCCTTGAGGAGGTATAGAGAAGAAGGTGTTTGAGAAGGAGGCTTGATGGGCACATTTTGTGGGCATCTCCCAAGGCCATAGATCTCCCAGCCCAGCTTTTACCTGGCTAGACTCCTAGCCCCTTGCAGTTGTTACCTGACCTCTACTACCTCTCTTCCACTGCAGTCTCCTCTTAATTTGAGAAGTGAGCGGGGCCCAGGCTCATGCTCAGTGGAAGATTCTATCACAGAAAGGAGTCTGAGCCAAGGAAAGGACTGCCTACAGTTAGTCACCAGCTCCTTTTGGTCTGCTTTGCACCCCCTTCCTAACTTGGGCCTCTTCTCCTGGTCTTGTTGGCCACCACAGCGTCCTCTGTCTTTAGGACCCCTGAGCCCTGGCTGGCTGGCTGAGGCCCTCACTGAGCGTTGAACACACATGTCTTGCATTGCTGGGTATCGTTACCTTCTAGAGGGCAGGACAGTATCTTACAGTCCACAGTGACTCTTTTCGCTCCCTTCCCTACTGCCTAGAAGGAAGCACAAAGTGTGCACACAGAAGGTGCTTAATAAAGCTGGTTGACGATTCTGCAGGCCATAGGTGTGGATGAGCCCCATCATGGGAGATGCTGAGTAAGGTCCCTGGAAATCTGTAAATATATGAAAGTTCAGCTTCACCTTCTAGTGTGGAAGCCTCTTCCCCAACTAATGTAAGGTGGAGGAAGAAAAGAACTCTGAGTTCCAGGTTGTTTGAAGGAGGGAAAGACTCATCCAACTGCGAATCAGAAGTGCCTTCCTAGGTTGCAGTATCTAGCAGGGCCTTGAAAGGAGGGTAGAAGGCTGATGGGGAAGATCAATGTAGATCAGTGTTCCAGAGAAGGGCCCAGCATGGAGATGCATGTAGAGGGGAGAGTGAAGGGTGAGACTAGGGACAGCGAACACACCCCCTGGAAGGAAGATGGAGCCTTGGGGAAGGAGGCTGAAGGCCTTGGTCCTGCTCAGTCCTGCCTCCTTCCACAGGCCCTTGGCTGTGTCTTGGGGACAGGGATTTTCTAGAACCAGTGGGTCACTGTGTGTGGTCTTCTGCCCAAACACCTGAGGTAGTGCTCCCTTCCCTGAAGCACTTCTGGAAGATTCCAGAGTGGTGTGGCCCTGGAAGATTCTGCTCCTTTGAGAAGTGTGGGCTCCTTCCTTACACCCCTATTCTCTCTCTATCATTGTGAGGCTCCTCTTCTCTGCATCATGCCCTTCTCTTCTTTTAAATGATATCATCTCTGATGCTCAATGTCTCAAGTTGCCTGAAAATATGTCAAAGTCCAGGGTTGGGGAGAGGCCAGGCTGATTGGAATGTGTGGGATGTGCATGGGATGGACATGGGGATGATGACAACACTTACTGTGCCAGCCAGTGTACCTAACCTTTGGGGGGCCTCAGGGAGTCCCTGCATGCCAGGTGGTTACAGCTGTGTTGCTCCCTGACATGCTCTCAGGCTGGAGCGCAAGCCACAACCTTGTCTGCCATTCTTGTTCTGGGGAAGCCCACCCAGTTCACCTTCACTCCCACAAGGTGCGGGTCCACTCGTGTTGTTATCCAGGGTTATAGCACACACATGCAGCACCATTTTGCAATGCCAACTCCATGCATGATGTGCCCTCAGCCAAATGACTCTGGGAGGAGGGAGAAAGAATGTCCCAGCACCCAGAGTCCCCCCAAGGAGCTCATCTGTTGGTGGAGTTGGAGGGTTTCAGGGTATCAGAGCTAGCGAGGTCCATAGAGGTCATCTGACTCTAGCTTCCTCCTTTGACACTTGCAGAAACTGAGGCCTGGAGTTGCTCAATGCCAGAGAGCTAGTTAACAGTACAATATAGAGACCCAGAAGCCAACTCTCTGGACTATTCCTGATGGACTGGCCCTGAACGTCCCACCACATCGCATTGAGTGGGGAAAGGAGGTGAGTGCAGGGTGGGGTGGAGATGTGCCATGTAGGCCCATGTGACCACAGCTGCATAAATTGCCAGCTTTGGGGACAGTACTTGTATGAGCCTAGATGAGCCTGCCACACTGTCACCCATGGGGCACTGGTTCAGTCTTTGTTAAGCTGTTTGTCATGTCTCCAGGTAGACAATGCTGGGCAACGTGTGTCCTCCTGTGGCAGAGCACAGAGCAGCATGTTGACCCTGGGGTGGGAGAGTGGCCCATGTGAGGCAAAGGCTTCAAGACCCAGTGCCCAGTTTACAAGGAATTTTTCCTACAAGGTTGGGTATGTCTGGCTCCTTGAGCAGGCACTTCTCACCAGGAGGTGCTGCAAGGCCCCAAGAAAGGAATGAACATCTGTAATCTCTGTGAGCCTTCTGGGCCCCCAGCCCTGGACTGCCTTTCCCTGAAGGCTGCTGCTGTGTACCAGTCCCGGCTGCTGATTATTCTGCCTCCCCTGAGTCCCAGTCCATTGGGCATTAGGACCAATGCCTAGCTATGCTGCAAACCTCTTGACCACTTGTCTTCCTATTTCTAATCTCTGTGTACCACACCGGACAAAGAGTTAAGATTCAAGTGGAGAAGCCCGGGGGGCAGGCAGGCACGGTGGGGGTGGCTGGATCCTGGGTGCAGCTTGCTGCCCTGTGACAGATGGGGTGGGGTCCTGGCTGAGGGGTATGGGGGCACCAGTCACATGGGGAGACATTGCGCTTATACACATGGCTAAGTCTTAGTGGAATGCAACTTGCTGGGTGGGTGGTGGAGGCACCACAGCCAGGCTGATGGTGACTTGAAGTGAAGTGTGGAGTCCCACTTAGTGATGGCAGGAACCTTCCCCTGCCAAGGCAGGGGTTTCCTGCCTCTGCTGTCTCCTCCATCCTTACCTCTCCTTGAGTCTGACTTTTAATATTTTCACACATCTTTCTGTTTTCTTGCATCTATTCTTGTAGGTGACCTGGAATCGTCAGAGGTGTTGGCTGAGTTTGGGATGGAAGAGGAGAGTTTTCTGGTTGCTCATAGCCACCAGGAAATTCAGCTAGAGTGGACACTCAGTCTCTGGGGGTCCTGCCAGTGTGTCACTCTATTCTGACATCATCACTGAGGTGTGATTGCTCCAACCAGAGCCTGGAAGGTAATCAGGCAGTGGATTCAAGAGAACTGGGTTGCACTCTGATTTCTCGGGTCCCCACAACTACTGGTAGAAAGATGGCAATGATCCTGTCTGGTTCATTGTAATATATTCATGTCCTTCCTTCTGAATCTAAAAGCAGTGAGGATTAAAATATTTTCAAGCCCCATAAAAGTTATGGGTCCAACCTCTGTGGCCACTGAGTCTGATGGGGAATTTGCCTTGGGTAGGGTCATGGGAGCCTGGCTCGGGGTGAGATGTGAGTGCCATTCATGTCCACAGGGGTCAACTCTTCTCACTTTTCAAATGAGGAAGCCAAGACCCAGAGGAAGAAGTGTTGTGATTTTCAGAATAATCAAGTGGACCTTGTGTGTGAGGATGGTGGCACAGCTCTTGGATCTGGGCAGTGTATGGTCCTATCAGTGTAAGAGTTCCTGAGTGTGAGGTCACCCCACACCCTGCAAGGCTCTCACCACTGTGATGCTAGCTAATTTAGAGTTTGTGCACGGACAGGGCCAAGCTTTGTGCTGACTATGATGTAAACAAGATGGGGGTGTTTAACTCTTTCCTTCCTGCCTGCCTTCCTTCCTTCCTTCCTTTTGGTGGTACTGGAGTTTTGAACTCAGAGCTTTGCACTTTCTAGGCAGGTACTCCCGACATAAGCCACACCTCCGGCCCTATTTGCTTTAGTTATTTCTCAGATAAGGTCACATGTTTTTTGCCCAGGTTGGCCTTGGACTGCGACCCTCCTACATATGCGTCCCATGTAGCTAGGATTACAGTTGTGCACCACCACACCTGCTTGTTATTTGAGGTAAGGGTTCGCTAACTTTTTTTTTAACCTAGACTGGCCTTGAACTACAGTTGTCCCCATCTCTGTCTGCCAAGTAGCTGGAATTATAGGTGTGAGCTACTGTGCCCTGCTATTACTTCTTAAAAAATAAAAATAACTTCAGGTTGGCACCAATGGCCCACATCTGCGGTGTTTTCTGATTGTTTTTACTGGAGTGGAATGGCTAAAGAGGCAGAGCCCCTCCCCAGCTACTTGTATGTGGACCTGCAACTCCATCTCAAGCAAACACTGTGATCTATGGTAGCTCAAAAGGGAGAAAACAAAACAGAACAAACAAGAAAACAAACAAAAAGCCCTATCAAAAACCCAAAGCAATAACTGATGGCTCCTCCCAGTCCTGGGGACCCCCAGCATAACTGTGCCCTAACTGTGCAAATGACACCGCCTAATAGAGTCCTCTCCCATTACATCCTCTGATGGATATATCATTTCCAAAATGACTCCATACTTCTGAGGACCTCTGCTTCTGAGACTTCCTGCTTGCACAAGAAACAATCTATTCAATTTAGTGATTAATCAGGATCACGAATTGTCACGTTTCATTTTTTTAATAATGAGAATCCATCAGTTTAAAGTATTCTTGGACACGTGGAGTCTGGCAAATGTCACGGACCTCCTCATTTGTATGAGTTCACACACAAGCTAGCAGCACCTCGGTGCTGGATGACCCTCTTTGGCACCAGAACACAATAATTTATTAAGCTTTGGTACTTCATAAGTGTGCACAAATATCATGCAAACATTAGGGCCGTACTCACAAACAGAAAGTGTATTAGAGACAGGATTATACAAAACATCTTGTAAACAAAAGGGAAGAAGTTGTTATTTTCTGTACAAAATATGCAGGTTTTTCTCTTTTTTAATAATCTGTAAGATGCATCATACTTCTGGTATTTCCAAAAAAGTGAAAACTGTATAAAAATAAATATTCTATGTACAAACACACACACAGGCCAATCCAAGGTTAGGGGCATCACTGCAAAACAAAAACAAAACAACGTGTGGTTAGTTTCAGGGGGCTGGGATGTTTAGTTCCCTGTAGGAAAGAAGGGCAATCCTGTCCTGGCTTGGTTGGATCTCTAGGTAGGGAGACTGGGGAACCCTAAGCCCCCTAGTGGGAAGAAACTTTCCTGGACTTTAAGCCCGCCCCAAAGGAGGGAAACACCTTTTACCTCCCAGCCATTCCCCGTCATGGCCACGAGAGGGCACTCTCTCTACGCTGTTTTTGGAGGCCACTCTGTCGGTTGCAGCCTCTTGGAATCTATGGTGTGAATGAGCAGACAGGAAGCTCTCTACTTGCTTTTCCAAGATGTAGTTCTAGATGGCAGCTGCTTTTTCCTTGCTAAACTCAACTATTTCTGTCTTCTGACCATCAGCAGCAGCCTTGAAGGAGAAAATCTTTTTCTTTGTGGGTAGGGGGCCAGGGTCTTATTGGACACACCTCTGACCAGCTCCTGTGGAGCTTTAACTAGGTCTTCCTGTAAATCAACAAGAGAATGAGTCTCGGTTTGAGAGGCAGATTTTTGGGGAGCACCCATCCTGAGGATTGAGCTTTTTCTTTCTTTGGTTAGGGGGTACTATAGGTATTTGGCACCTAGGTGTTCAACCTAAGGCCTGGCATTGTGTTCATTTCACTACTTTTTCCTAACCCTGTCAACTAATAAGATTCCAAGGGTTAGTGCACAGGTTGCTTATCCAGTGTGACTGTGTCACTGGAACAGAACTGGATGAGCTAAGCGCAAACTCCTGAGCAGGGTATGGTCTCCAGCCTGCTTTTTACACACCAGGACCCTGAGACAGTGGTGGTGGAGGGTTGGAAAGAAGACTGAATAGGAGATCAGCTGGAGGGAAGCAGCACATGGGTGAGGCAGCCTGGAAGGTGGGTTCCAGATTAGTAAGTCCATGGGCTCTAAGTTGGGGAGCCCTGTGCCTTGGGGGTCTTGGGGAGCTGTGGCTGAATGAGTGATCTCGTGGGAGAGTCTGTCACGGTGGCATCAGACTACTTTAATGATGGCAAATGCCCAGGTAAGTGTGATTTGGTGAAATCTCATTGTTGCAGGAACTCTGGAAACCCAGGGGAAGTTGGCTGCAGGTCACATGTGTACAAGCACAAGGCTCTGGCGGCTGAAGTTCAAGGGGAAGGGTAGAGTGGAAAGCTGGACAATCTGTAGGAGAAGTATGGAAGCCATGTGGGTTTGGAGCTTCAGCAACTCAGATGTCTTACATCTGGGCAAATGTCGTCATGTGGCTTAAATGACCTCATTTGAATGCTGACAGTAGCTAATGCTAACCTATTTTAAAACATGGCCCATGGCTCTTGGAGGACATAAATTGGCCACACAAAGTGTAAAGATGTCATCAGGTGCTATGTGGAAATTCCACACACTGGGGTTGGCTGACACCTTAAAAAGCATTTTTAAATATTCTCCAAGTACATGCAATGCCTGGATGTTTAATGGGAACCCTACCTTTGAAGCTGCACTTTTTAGCCTCATCTGCAGAAAGGTAGAAAGGAAACTGTACAAGCTTTATGGCACTGTTGGGAAAGGGCACCCATATACTCGTGTGTCCGAGTCCGTGTAGGTCTCTGGGAAGCTTACCTTGTTCCAACAGCCCTGGACTGGTAAGCCGTCTTCACCCTGCAAAGAAAAATGGAGGCGGAGCGCTCAAACTCTCCAGACTGTCCACTAAGCAGGCAGGACAGGGGTAACAAGAGCCACAAACATTTTGGCAGCCCATTAGGAGGTAACCCACCCACTATTGTCTATTTCTTTTCTCTACTCTGGGTCAGAACCTTGGAAGGAGACAGGAAACAAATATGGCTGTTTTCCCATTGGCCAAGGCCACATGTAGCTGCATTGTAATGCCAAGAGGGGCTGTCCTAGCCTGTGGGAGCAGCAAGCACGGATGTCCTTGAGTGCTGTGAGAGGACAGTCTCTGCTCTAGCTCCACAGCATGATGGACACTCAAGTCACTCAACACTTGGGCCTCCAGCTCTCCCTCTGCAAAACCAGGGGAGGTGTGCAGTGACCTTCCCAGCCGGTCTGATCTCTTACTTGTCATCCTAAGCATGGGGGGAGGACATCCAGACAGTTCCAAATGGGGCTGGGAATGCAAGGGGATGGCAGCCTCAGGGGTAGGTGACATGAATCTAAGATACCTTCAGCAAGAGGACAGAGGTTTCTGGCCCAGCCTCAGACATGGCTGGGGATTTGGGATGGAATGCAGTAGCAGGGACAGAAGCAACTGTGTATTATTGGTGGCAACCACTGATGCTTCTTGCAGCCTCAGGACGCTCTGCCTGTGGCATTACTTCCTTTCTGAGTCTTCTTGGGCCGTATATCCTGGCCTTTCTGCACATCCTGGGGGCAATCTAGAAATCTTCTTGAGCCAAGGTGGGGAGGATGAGGCAAGACCTAGGGCAAAACTCTAGGTCTCTGTCCAGGTCTAAGAGAAAGGCAGCCTGAATCCTAGAATTGCAGGTGCCAGGGTGGAGACAGGTGGACACAGGGCTTGAGGGGAAGAGTAAGTGCCCAGCCTTGAGAGCAGTTGAACAGGGTCCTCTGTGCCCTGGACCAACTTTCCCCATCCACACCAGGCATCCAAATCTCTTACCACCCTGCATTCATCAGGGGCTGCTCTAGCCTGAAGGCCAAAGAAGTCTACTTATCTTGTACTAAAAGTTGTGATCAGTAGCTCCCTGACCTCCCAAGTCCATAGGAACACAATGCTGGAAGCATTGGAAAGGAAGCTGTTGACACTTTCATGACACATCATTATGGGGTGTCACTGGAGAAAATACCACTTTGTTTGAAGGGTCAAATAACCATGGCCTTCATTTCCCATTCTGGGTTGGGGAGGTGACCCTCTGCTTCCTTCCCAGTCTGTCATGTCACCGCGCGACGCCCTTCTTCAGGACTGGGGGAGGGGAGGAGCCTCCTGGGGCCACAGGAGCATTCTCATTGGCAAAAGGGTAGAGGTGTGTGTAGGAAGAGGGGCAGGAGGGCGGGGAGAAAGCGAACGTGATGCAGGCAAGGAGTAGAGAGGCCAAGGTGGATGCCACTGAGCTAAGATGCTCAGATGGAGGGGATCATGGCCCAGGGAAGACCCCTCAGTGATTAGTGGAGGCACTTGGGAAGCCACGCATGCTGGTGTCAGCAGGAGGGACCAGCAGGGTTAGGAGGTTGCTGCTCTGTCCGCTTGTCCTGTGCTCACCTTGTGTCATACACGCTGTACCTAAAAAGTCCTTAGTGGCCTTCAAGGAGCTCTACAGTCACCCATATTTTCTTACACTTGTTTTTGCTTCTATTCAAAGAGAATTCCTAGAGGACCCCTGGCTTGGGGGTGGGACGATGGAGATTCTAGCATGAAAATAGCTCCCCATCTGTAACCACGGAGGGGAAATATAGTGAGCAGGAGCCTGTTGAGATGATCTCCTTGGAGTCATGTGTCACCGTGTGTTTCTTTGCAGTTGGCTAACAAAGTCCCTGCCTGGAGAGGGACTGGTCCAGGTGGGAGCAAGCTTCTGCCTCAGCCCAGAATGTGCCTAGAAGAGGGGTCGTTGGCCACCTTCTGCCAAGGACCCAACCTGGAAGAGTAGGCAGGGTAGCCTCCTTTTCCACTTTAGTTCTAGAATTTCTCTGACTAGAAGCATGCCCTCCTGTCCCTTTGCCAAACTGTAAGGTGTGTGTGTGGGGGGGCGACTCAGGCAGTTCATTCCAGTGTTTTGCTAGGCATTCAGCTGGTGCATTCAGAGCTCACTGCATTGCACAAAGGAAAAGAAGTCAGTTCTAAGGAGCTGACCAGAGACTGCTCTTCCCCAGTTTGAACTCTAGTAACTGAGTTGTTTAGAAGCAGTTGAGCAATGAGACTCAGAGGCAGCCAATGCTGGCTTCAAGGTGGGGAAGGGCTGGCTGATGCCAAGTGAGGGCTTCAGAAGCAGCTGCAGGAGGAAGCTGGAAAAGTGCCCTAGCAAACCCTGCAAGCAAGCAGGTGGGCAGCAAGGCTGTGGGCTGCCAGAGCACTAGGCAGGACAACTCTTGGTGTCTCAGAGAGAAGAAGCAGGCAGTGGGGACTGAGTGGATGGAGCAGGAGGAGGCACACAGGCACAAACCACACACGTGGGGTAGCCCAAATCGGCCACACAGGCAAGGGAGGGCGATGCCATACCAATGGGCATGGGGCATCCAGTCCGTCCAGCCCGGGTAACCCCGGCTCCCCTTTCTCTCCTTTAAAACCTCGGTGTCCCTGTTCATAAAACCAACCACGATGATTATTTAGTCAAAGGTGGCCAGCTCCGACTGCGGAGTGGAGAGGCCCAGCCCTACCCTGGCCAGGATGCAGGACCCTTGAGGCACCTATAAACAGGCTAAATCCCAAATGACACCTCATCTTCCAAATCCAGCCTTTGTGCCCAGGACAGCTTAGCTGTGGTACACGCACAGCCTGCCCCTCTGTACCCACCCTCCCCATTCACAGGCTCACATGGAACAAGCACAGATAACCTTCAACTTCAAGGCATCAGAATTTTCAGGACCTTCAAATGGATTGAAAAGGCACCCAAGAAGCCTGGCAGATGTGCCATGGATCATTAATTACTGACTCATTGAGAAGGCTTCCTGGAGGCGTTTGTCTACTGATTTTGGTCTGCACCTCTCCGGGTCTTAGCTGGCATGTTAACATTGTAAGACTATATATGAAAAGCCTGTGTCTGGCCTTGTTCTGCCCAGTGTTGAGCATCAGTGATCCTCAGGAGACGCTAACTCTGGTATCCTGCATCCTGACCAAGTGAGGATTCAGACAGCTAGAACTTCTAGCCACAGAAATGGCCACAAAACAAAGAAGGCAAATTCGTGGCTCCCAAATGCTACACTGGCTTCCAAAGCCAAGCTGGAGCCAGGCCTTCTCCCAAAGGCCCTCTCTCTGTGGTTTCTTCACTTCCACACGTCCATTGTTCTGTATCTTCAAAGGGAAGGGATTTAGCCAAAATTACTTGCAGCTGTGGTTTTAAGACAAACCCCCCCCCACAGCAGGCAGAATTTCCAATGCCCAGATAGTCTTTGGTATCTTCAGTATAGTCATTTGGTTCTCATCTTAGTTTATTTGCCTTCTTTGTTTCCAACTTGTAACCCTCATGCAAAGAAATAAAACCAGAATAATGCAAGTGAGAAATGAAAACATACCAACGGACAGGGGGCATCTAATCCAGGTGCTCCTTGGTCTCCCTTATCCCCTTTAGGCCCTCTAGAGCCTTTCTTCCCCCTCTCCCCCTGTAAATAATGGTTTAGTCCAAGAAAAACAAAAACAAAAACATCAACACTTCAGGATCATTCATGTGTTAAGGTTAGAGACAGAAAATGAAAAATAGAAGGGAAGAGGGAAAAGCACTTTCTAAATTAGGATAGTCTCCCCAGAAAGATTTGGGGTTAGTACCCACCTCCCCCTTCTAAACGCCTGAGAGTTTGGCTAAGAAGGGTGGATGGGGGCAGGGAGGCCAGGGGGCAGCTGGGAACCAGAGGTGGAGGGACATGTGGACTGAGGATACTGGTGCTCAGTTTTGATCTGAGAGGGTCAGTGATGCATGAAGGGACGGAGCGGGGACTGCTATCCATCTCTTTGAGGGTCTATTTTTGAAGGGCTTTGGGTTCACAACATTTTGTCCCAATTTTCATCCTTTTGATATTCTACTAGAGGCAAGATGGTTTTGTTTAGAGCCCTGGGTGTGTGCACACACCCGTATGTGAATGCAGCATTGTGTGAACAAAGGCACGTTCATGCCTGTGCATGTGTGTGTGCAAGACTGTGGGGGTGGTCTACACTCGGGCATGTGCACATGTGTGTGCCTGTATGCATGTGTATGTAGATGTGTGTGTTTCATCTGTTCTCCCAATCGTCTGAGCCTCTGGGTCATCCTGGTCTGAAGTCATAGACAGCTGCTTTTTATTTATTTTTAATTTGTTTTAGTGGTACAGGTAGGTTTGAATTCAGGGCCTTGTGCTTGCCTAGCATTTGAGCTACGCCTCCAACACAGACAACTACTCTTTAATAATATGTTATTTTATTGCAGACAGCTTTTGCATCTGGACATGTTGGTTCAAGGCATTCATTTGTTTCTGAAAAGCTTCAGCTAATGTCATCCTTATAAGTCAAAGCCTATTTTTTAGATGTCAGGATTCATTTAAAGAAGGACTTCAGATAATTTTTAAAATTGAAAACACTGGCTTGGTGCAGTAGCTCACACCTGTCAGCTACTTGGTAGGTGGAAATTAAGAGGATCTAGGTTGGGGGCCAGCCTGGGCAAAAAGTGAGGAAGACCACATCTGAACAAATAAACTAAGCATGGTGGTTCATTCCTGTAATCTTGGCTAAGAGGGAGGAGAAGGTAGGAGGATCAAGGTCCAAGGCCAGCCCAGGCAAAAAGCACAAGACTCTACCTGGAAAACAACTCAAGCAACAAGGTTTGAGGATGTTGCTTCAAGTGGTAGGGTGACTGCTGTGCAAACACAAAGCCATAAGTTCAAACACCAGTACCACCAAAAAAAAAAAGGGGGGGGGCTGGAGGTGTGGCTCAGGAGGTAAAGTGCCTGCCTAGCAAGCATGAGGCCCTGAGTTCAAACCCCAGCACCACCAAAACCAAACCAAAACAAAACTCAAAGTGCTTGTTTGCCCTGAGTTCAAACCCCAGTACTAACCCCCAAAAGTGACGAATCACTTCATTATGAATTTGAATTTGGATTTTCATATGTTGCATTTCCTTAAAGGGGGGGGGGCATTTGTGTCCCCAGGGAGTCTTCCCAGGCACTCTCCTATCTGGAAGGATTGGAGACTTCTACAGTGTCACTCCAGGGTAATGAGACCTTGGAGGCTGCAGCATGGAGTTGGGGCTGGTTCTGTCAATTATCAGTGTCAATTATCAGCTTTGGGAAGCTACTTAACCTCTCTGGGTCTCAGTTTCTTCAGTAAAATGGGCACAATAGCACTTCAACGATTTGCTGTAAAGCTTTCGTGCAGTGCAAACGCTTAATGATAGCAGATAGTCTAGTTCAAAGTGGTCATGCTTCATGATGACAGTGGGAAGGACTACTGTTTTAGTGACTAGTATAGGAGCTCAGAGGCCAGTCTCAGGGTACACAGGTCTTGTCATATCTGCAATGTTCCCACAGCGAAAGGCCGTGGGGCTGAGTTTCTTAGAAGAAGGTCAAGGTTAAGAATACTTTTGATATTCTCCTGTATCTTTGGAAATTACCAATTTCTCAATTCCAGAGGCCACCTGCAATTGCCAATGCATTATTCCAAGTGAATTTTTCTAGAACACTCATCCTTACTTAGAAATGACATGTGTTTAAGAGGAAGCATGCACATGCATAATGCATGTAATCTAATTGGCTCAAAGACATGAGCACCTACAAGAAGATTCCCCAAATCGCGGACAAGCAAAACCACCAGCTATTTGGACAGAAAGCCGCGGCACACATCCTCAGGAGTGTGGCTCCTCATTCTTTTTGGGTCATGAGCACAGTTTCCTAATTGAGAAGGAGGGCAAAGCTGCTGGGGGTGGGGGCGGGTTCTAAGTCTTTGCTGTAGATGACAGAGAGTAGGCTATATGCCAGACTTTCATAATGGGTCCCTTACATCATGACGTCCTGGGTGATCGCCTCAATTTGGGTACCTTAGGAGATAGTAGAGCAGTAGTTTTATGTATATGCTTGCTGTTCTCCACCCCAGAAGGGACACACAGAGACCCTGCAGGAGGGAATTCTAGCTAGTAAGGGGGGGGGGCGGGGGAAAGGTAAATAAAGTCAAGTGTAGAAGTTTCTTAAACAATAAAATTAAATGTACAAAATTGGTTTTAAAGGAAATAAATTGGAAGGTGGGGAGGGGAAGGGAAAGGAGAGGGGTATGGGATTATAATGGGGTGAATATTTGAGGGGAATCAAAGAAGTAAAGTAAGAAGAGGCAAGCCAAGACTAGAGAGACAGTGAGAGAAGGGGAGGTGGAGAGACAAGGATGACTCTGGGGGAGCAAGACACAGCACCACATCCATGTGCACTTGTGCAGGTGGGTGCCTCAGTGATGCAGCTCCATGCATTCTTGGATCTTTTTAGCTGGCTGACTTGTGGGTTATGGTAACACCCAATTTTCTTGATGATTAAATTGCTAGATTCATACTACCCTTTATTCTTTGATCATTTTTGTTTGTTTGTTTTTATCCTAAATATGGCTCCTAGGGCAAATTCACAGAGCTTTTAGAGACAAAGGTGGGGGGTACCCTTAGTGGTAAAGGCAAAATATCCTTTTTGCTGTCCTGTGTGTCCTTAGCAACTTCCTCCTTCCATCAACAGGAAAAAGGCTTGAAGGCCATCCTCGGGTGGACCCAGAGCAGTGTGATTTTAAGGTTGTGAACATCTTGAACATTTCTGGCTTCACCTTCTCAGGAAACAGTGAAGCCTCTAATCAGAATGTGGTTTTAGCCCTTCTGGCATTCCATTAGGGCTGGTGGCGTGCAGAGGAATGAATGAGGAGGCAAGGTTTAGGAGAGCCCCTTCCAGCACATTCAGCATTCTGAGAGTCAGCATTCTTGGATGAAGAGTCCAAGATTCTAAAACTTGCTCTTTTGGGGTAAGTCATCTAATTCTTTATGGTGTACTCAAAAGAAGCTTTGTGCAACTTTACTGCTTTATGAACTTGACTTTGAGTAAATGGCATATTCTGATTTATACATGGGATGGGGAAATGTGTGTCAAGCAGCAGGAAAGGGAAGAGGAGGAGAAAAATGTTCTCACTGATTCCTGGGGTCTCAGTGAATTATTCAACAACCTCTGTTCCTTTAGCATCAGAGCCACCATCCTGATCCATTTCCTCTTCCCCCACCATCTGTGACAATAGCATCTGGCTTGCCCTGCCTCCACCTCTAAAGCAATATGTCATCATCACTTGAAGGAATGCTTTTGCAACCTTCAAATGGCTCAGTGCCTCAAACCAACTGAAAAAGTCTTAAGAAATAGGGTTAAAAATATTAATTGAATAGAATAAAACCAGAACACTTTAGAAATGTTAGAAAGGAGGGTGGTGTGCCCACAAAGATGTGGAATGATCATGGCTGCAGAGTCCTGAAAGGCTGGTCCTAGGTCTGGAAGTAGGTGTGTCTTTTCCAGTGGATTCTATTCTTGGTCATGCTATAGATATCTGGCAGGGGTAGCTCTACCAGCTCCTACTTGTTAATAGAATGTGAGACAAATTGAGTTGCTTTTGCCCAGCTGCTAGTGAAGAGTGTCTAGGAATATATAAATGCTCAATGAACACCTCTTAAACTGAAGAAAAGGGAATTAAATTGGTGCCAGATATAAATATACAGATTCTGGCACTTTCTATCCATGGACATAGTATATCAGTGTTCAATGATCAGCTGCATGACCCGGGTTCTAGAATCTACCCGATCTGCTTCTAGTTCTCTGAGGGAATTCAGTATGTCTTATCATCATTCTGCGTTGCATTTCTCCAACTGTTCCTCTCATTCTTTCTCTTCTAAGATCCTTGGGTTTTATGATCCACTACAAGACACCCTTGGGCCACTAGGGGACATGTATCACACATAAACCACTGTGAGGAGGCAGCAGAGATGTTCTAGAAAGAACTCAACAGTCATCTCTTGGCCAGACATAGTTAAATTAAATTATCCCTGCTGGGTCCAAATGCCCAATGTCATGGCCTGTGTCACATGTGTTCACATGGCTTGTGGATACCTGGTAAAGGTGGCAGAAACCAAAGGGAGAGATTAAAAAAAAAACTTTCATAGCTTTGTCAACTCTTTCCAAGACAAATAGTGACAAATAGCGATTTTTCTTTTTAAGGCTTGGCTGCTCATAACAGCCGCTGCTTGTTCTCAGAGCTGGCATTTATTTTCTTGTTCACCAGTGGTCTGGAATGCCTGACAAAACTAAGTTTGAGAAGACAAGAATGAGGTAATGATGGATCCGAAAATATCACTCAGGGGCCCATTATCAGGGCAACATGGAGAGAACTAGACACATGGCTCCTGTTACTGAGTGGCAATGCTACTCTGATGGCTACTGTGGGATTGAGCCTCTCATCAAAATGTGGAAAAATACGTTTCAATTTCAGAATTAGGCCCCAGGCTCCTTGCATTTCATGGATTAAGCCCCTTCTAGAAAGCCTTTCTATTTAGGATGATTTATCAGGAAAAACTGTATTTGCTATGTTAGGTCAGGAATCTACAATGATCATTCCACACCATCGGGAAGACGTTAGTAACTAGAGCCAAAGGGTTCACACTCACCCGGTTTCCTTTGTCCCCGGGTGGTCCATGTAAACCCTGCAATAAATCAGAGTAACGAAGACACGTTAATGAAAAAAACACAGAATGGCCATCTGGTCCTTCCTTCTAAGCTCAGAAAGCTTTCTACTGATGCCTCCTTCATTGGAGACAGGCTGATTATCCCCATTTTACAGAAGAGGGGCAGAGAAGGAAATCCCTCAAGGAAATTGACCTGAAGGCAAATGATGAATTATGGGCAAAGCCAATGACGCCGATCTGTGTTCTCTCTCTGCTGCCTATGACCTGTGCTGTAGTCATGTTCTTTCCAGGTCACTCATGTGGATGAGCGATGGGTTCTGATGGTCGTGAGCCCAGAATAGTCTTAGCAGAGGAGTACCTCATGGCTCTTCTGCCAAGCTCTTGCTAGCAAGAAGCCTCCACAGCTTCTCAGACGTTTTTCAAGGTGCAAAGTGCTCTAGGGAACAAGCATTTTCTGACACTGGCCCAGACATGCTTGGTTAGCCAGCCATGTGTACAAGCTTCAGGTGGATGGAAATAAAAGTCCAGGCTCTTTTAGGCAGCCACTTGGCTTTTATACAAAGCCACAGGCAAATGTGTTGCAGCTGGGAGGCCAAGTTCATTCCTCAAGACCCTCTCTCCTGGGAAAGCTGTCTGGCCCACGGAGCATCTCCTTCTGTGTCACAGTCACCTGTTGTAGCCCCTCAAGTGGAATGGCTGGGGACATGTTGTTACATTCCATGAGATGGTCCCCATGGCCAAGCACTTGCCCTCTGAAGTGATTCTCTCCCATCACCATTTGCCTCTGGGCAGCTTCCTCTGTCATAGAAATGAGAATCCTCCCTTGGCCCCAGATCTTTGCACCAGGTTTTGGACATCTGTTTTGACCTTGTTTTTGGTGGGGCAGGGGTGGCAGAGAGAAACCTCTGATCCCATGAGACTCACAGGAAGTCCAGCTGCTCCCGTTGGTCCTGTCATCCCTGGGTCTCCTTTGCTGCCCTGAAATGAGAAGAAGCCCATGAACCTTCTTGCCATGGTAACACCCTCCCCCACTATTTCCTATTCTATATGGAGCCCTGGAAACCTCTACTGTCCCCCTCCTACAGTCCTATAGAAGGTGGGGTGCCCCTGGTACGAACTCTGCCCTGGAGGGTCTAGAACCTCTCCTGCTGTCCCTCTGGCAAAGTACCCCAAAGCCCCCAAAAGGACTGTACAGTGTCCTGGGGGTTCTGGTTGGCTTGAGGGAGAAGGAAGGGAGAGGGAAAGGGAGAGAAAGGGAAGAGCTTTGATTTCTTCTCTGAAGCCTCAGGGTCTCCCCTTGGATCAGCAGTCCTGGTTTCCCCAGGTGGCAGATGGTCTCAGAGAGGCCCACACCTGATGCAGAACCTGCTCACATCCCACCTGAGCCTCCAGAGACAGTCAGCAGAGTAGGTGGATGGAGGGGGAGCTGCTGCTTGTGCAGGCAGATAACTCAATGGATGTCCCTTGAGATCAGCCTAGAGCCTGCCCCTCAATGATGCCAAACCCTGGTTCTGTGGGTAGCAGGGTTGACTGGGAGGAGCTAGTGCAGAAAGACACCAGCTCTCCTCAGCTCTCCTGCCTCCACCCTCACCACCTAAGTCAGAACCATAAAGGATGGGGCTGGACCTCAGGGCATCATGTGACATGGTCAAGGTCATTCAACAGTGACTATGGAAGCTGTGCCTAATGCTCGGGCATCCTGACTACTTGACATCCTTTAGAGACTTTCTGAATACCACTTTGCCCTCTGCCCCATGTTGTTTCTCTAGATCATCATAAAGTATAGACATGAGCAGTGGCGATAGCACCCAAGACCTTTCTAGACTGAACTGCAACAGGTGCTAGGTGATTGTGGTGAGAGGATTGTGAGAAGCCTATGAGAACTGGACATAAGTAAGGTGAGATGTTTATCTGTAGGCCGAGACTGGCAGAGCCCTGGCCACAGAAGAGGAAAATGCAGAACAGCTGCTTCTCCTAAGCAGGAACACAGGTTTCTCCTGTTAACAATGTTCAAGAACTGCTGCTCCACCCTGTTTACCACTGGATATAAAAGACTGAAGGAGGACGTGAGGCTTTTTGCTTTGGGGCTTTTGCTTTGGGGGCTTTTGCTTTGAGGCTTTTGGCTTTGGGGCTTTTGGATTTTGGATAATGGGAGGCTTTTTGATGTGGGAGGCTTTGGAAGGGAAAAGGATTGCTGAAGGGACAAGGATTGCTGAAGGAGAATTGCTAAAGGGGAATTGCTAAAGAGGTATTGATAGAAAGTCTGTACCAAAAACTTTATATATAGGCTTTAGAAAAGCTAAGCTAAAAAAAAAAAAAAAAAAAAGCCAAGCTAAAGAAAAGCTAAAGGGAACATGGGACAGTGCAAGCCTGATCACTGAGGCTTTAAGAAAGCTAAAGAGAGAACATGGGACAGTGCAAGTCTGGGAGCAAAGACTTTAAGAGAGATTATGCTAAAGAAAAGCTAAGAGAAAACATGGGACAGAGCGAGTTTAAGGAAAGAGGTTTTAAAGAATAGTGAAACAAAGTTTTAAGGAAGACTTTAGAAGCAAGGTTTTAAAGAACTGTAAAGGAGCAAGGCCTTAAAGAATAAAGATAGAGAAAAGAAGTAAAGTAAATGAAGAGAATACTAGAAAAAAGAAGCAATGAGGGTTGTGCATCTCCACCCAAGCACCCAACACACCTGATCCTACTTTCTGTCTGTCTGTCTATCCTATGTCCTTTCTGCATCTCCCATTGCCACCCAGTTAGCCCCAGTTAGGTTCAGTAATAACCAGGAGCAAGAGAAGGCTCGCTCCAATAAGGGAGCAAGAGAAAAAGCTCGCTCCAGGTGACCAGCAGGGGGAGGGAGCTCCCTGTCTCACCTCTCCAAGTCTCTATCTACTCATAGCCACACAATGGGCTCCACCTCCTCAACTTATTTGGTCCCCACAGACTGCTGTGAGGGTGACCAGAAGTGATATATGAGGGAAGGGATAAGGGCTGAGACTTGTGAGGCTGACACAGTGACCCTAACTGGGTCCCAGGTGCTGGGACTGAGCAAGGACATCCTGTCCCCTCTCTCTTGGCCATCCAGACTTCCAGCTCACTGAGGGCTCACCCTCTCGCCCTTTGGTCCCGCTGGGCCTGGAACTCCGATTGGTCCTGGAGTACCCTGAGGAGGTGAAAGAATGCAGAGGTGAGAGACCAGATGCTGGGGGGAGCCCTGGGAATCCCACCCAGCACCCAGAGATGGATGAGCAAGGCCGTAGGCCTGGTTTTCAGGGTTGGCAAGGCCAGGCCTGTTCAGGGTGGTCATTTGATTGAGTGATCCTTTTTGGTTTGGGGACCTTGCAGGAGAGTACCTTCCCCTCTGCCTCAGAGCCAGATTCACAGATTGAAAGAAACCCTTTTACATCACAGCTAAGCTTGCCAAGGCTGAAAACGGTAGAACAGTTGCTTAGTTTGCTCCCAGAAGCACTTGGGAGGGAGGTAGCCCCATCCCAGGCGTAGGGGCCCTGGGCTGGGTCCCCTTTTCTGTCAGCTCCACATGCAGCAGGACGGTCTTCATGCCATAGAGACCAATGCGGACACACATACAGAGGCAGGTGTGAGAGGCCATTCAGCACCACATACCCACCCAGCCCACTGCAAACCCACCTGGCCTAGGCCAGGGCCCTTCAACCCTGCCTGCAAGCCTGTGGAACAGGTTGCATAGGAGTGAGTCAGTGTCTTTGGATGTCCTATCTGCACCACCCTGGCCTGCATGGAGGGGCTTAAGCTCGACTAAGCCAGGGCCATGGGGAACTGTGGCTGCAGGCACTGGAGCAGCGTTACTTAGAGATGAGCAAGGATTGCTAGGGTGTCAACATCTTCCCCAGGGCCCCATTTGCAGCCCAACTAGGCCAAGTGTGTTTCAAAGCCTCCTGTTTGTCTGCCTCAGTGTTTAAGTGTCCTATTTGCTGATTTGCTTTACTTCGATGGAAATAGAGCCATGAGATGTTTTTGGTACCCACTTTGCAACTATTAGAGAGAAGGGTGGCTGTGGACATCCATACAAAAGCACAGCAAAAAGCCAAGTCTAGATCAGGGTGACAGCTCCAGAGTCGCCAGGCCAGGTTTCAGCCTTGTCATAAAGCCTAGAACACCTCCATATTGGAGGAGTTTGTAGTTCTGTTGAGAATCAGATTTCCCCTGAGGTCTCCCGAGTGTCAGCCCTCAGGCTGCTGCCAGGGCTACATGCAAGGATGCTGAGCCTGGTACCTAGGCAGTGCCCAATAATCAGTAATATTGTCAAGGAAGGATTCTTTCCCCAAAACATTTTCTTTTAAGGTTGTCTCCAAAAAGACAGAGCACATGAATTTGCTCCTTCTCTTTGCCCAGGATAAATGGGATGAGAAGCTGAGGGGCAGGTCTTGGTTTCTCTGAATCCAAAGTTGGGTCATCCCTGACCCAGCTGGCAGGAGCAAGGCCACAAGAATGCTTGGAAAACACATGTGCGCTCCAGTTGAGCCTGTAATGCCAGTGCATGGCAGGAGGGTCTCTGAAAGGATCTGTCATTTTGGCATCACCAACCCCCCTCTCCTTCTCTCTTTCTCCATCTCCCTCTCTCTTTCCATCTCTCTCTCTCTCCCTCTCCCTCTCCCTCTCTCTCTCCCTCTCCCTCTCTATCTCCCTCTCCCTCTCTCTCTCCCTCTCTCCCTCCCTCTCTCCATCTCTCTCTCTCTCCTCTCTCTCTCTCCCTCTCTCTCTACCTCTCCCTCTCTCCCTCTCCATCTCCCTCTCTCCCTCTCTCCTTTCTCTCTCTCTCTCTCTCTCCCTATCTCTCTCTCTCTCTCTACCCCTCTCCTTCTCTCCCTCTCCCTCTCTCTCCTTCTCTCTCTCTCTCTCTCTCTCTCTCTCTCTCTCTCTCCCCCACTCCTTGCTTTGAGATTGGGTCTCACTGTGCTGCCCAGGTTTGTCTAGCACTGGTGGGCTAGACACACAGTGAGCCTCACACACACAGCCTTCCGAGTGTTAGGAACAGGCATGTACCACTATCCGTGCACATACACCTCCTTTTCTTTACGAGGGCACAGAGCAGACATTTAATAAGACAAGGCTCTAACGGGGTCACCTGTAGGTTCTCTTGTCTCTAGAAGCCCTGGGTGTGAGGCATCAGTTGTGAGAGCCCCGCCTTACCTCCCCCACCCCCACTCACTGGCTCCCTGGGAAGATCAGTACCCCTCTATCCTGTCTGCACGTGCTCCCCTTCACGAAGGGCTCCCTGCAAGTTCTCCTGGCCCCGAGTACCACACTAAACAGCTCACTAGACCCTTGCTGTCTGGACAGGCCATAGGCTGATATGGCCTCGAAAGCAGTCAGGCTCACTGGGTGGAAGGGGCTGGGCACATCCACTCATGCCACATCCCTGGCATGGCTCCTGAGCTGGAAATCCAGCTGGCCCTGGACAGTCAGCCATCCTAACACCATGACAGGTAATAGTTGCAGTCAGGAGAGCCACAGTCCTGACCACCTCACAGGTGCTCAAGGTGGGGGACTGGAGGTAGAAAGGAGGTACACTTTCTGGCCAAGAGTAGGTGAAGGCTGCTTTCTGGAATCAGGAGGAATGGAGATAGAGTGGACCCAAGTGCCCCCCACCTGCTCTATAATCAACTCTTTGCTGCGCTGCAGGGTAGCTGGGGTGCCACTGGCAGTGGGAGTTGGCTCAAGCATACCCACGGGACACCAAGCTGGGACTGGCCCCTGTGCTCCTCTATGTACTGCGGCTGAACTTCCATACTGCCTACCCATCCACAGCAGGTCAGTGGCTGTACAGGACTGGAAAGCCCTCACTGGCAGACAGGAGATGGACAGAACTCACAGCATGAAGACAACACAGCGTGACGGGCACATAGACACTTGTGTTTGCTGGGGACATGTCCTGGCCCAAACGCCAGGACAAGGCTCCCAGGCTGGACTTGGCATCCTTCAGGATCAGGGTCAGTGCTTTTGGAGTGGTTCCACTGCCCCTGGTGGCCCCTGGGTGCACACTATGGACAGGGGAGTTCAGACGATGGGCAGCCTTCTCTGGGCAAGAGGGCTGAAAAAACACTTCTGACTTTAGCATGGCTGGGACATTTCTGGTGTCCATGGTGGGACAAAGCATGACTCACTGGGGAAACGAGGCTACAGCGGGGACAGACAAGAGGGATCACAGGCTGGGCATGGGGTGGGGCGGAGAGGAGAAATGGAGAAGTGACACTCACCGGTGGCCCAGGCCTGCCGTCCAAACCTGAAGCTCCCTGGACGAAGGGTACAGTTTGACCAAAAGAAGGGGAAGGGAGGAATGGGAGGGAGAAAAAGGGGACAATGGGGGAGGGAGAGGTGAGTAAAGCAGTGACTCTGGACAGACATAAATGCTGGCAATCGAACACACTGGGAGAAGTGAGCTCGGGAGGACAGGGGTGGTGTTCACATGGAAACCAACGGAAACATGGAGACACTGAATGCTGTGGCCAGCTGCTGATGGCTATTCTGATCCTCCGCAGCCCCTGCTCCCCTTTCTCTTCTTGCCCCTGTCAGAATCCCCTCCTCCAGGGGACTTCAGTGCTCCACCGAAAGGGACATAGAAAAGGATTCCTGGAGAGGTGTCTGGAGCCAGAGCCATGTATCTTTCCCAGGCTAGGGTTCACTGGGGAGGATATGTGGAGGGGGTGCAGGTGAGGGGACCTTCCCAGCCTCCTTCAACACCTGTGGAGACCAGACCATTCCCCTCCCCCAGGGGCTCGGTCCTGAGTTCCAGCATCTGGTTTTAAAACCTGGGTAGAAGCTGGCCTACTTCTACTTCAGCTGGTGGGAGGAGCCGGCCCCTGAACAGTAAAACCAATGACGCGTGACATTTTGCTGGCACTTGACAGTTTGCAAAGCTCTACACCAACTCAATCTATCCATATGCTTGAAGAAAGGATCCTTTTTATAGACAAAGGCTTTGGAGGCAGCTGACTGAATTATAGGTTTATGGCCGCGTATCCCTGTGGTGAATGGGCAGGCAGGTGGGACACTATTCGGACCCCCAGCCTCCTCATCCTGGCTGACCATGACATACACAGTGGGAATGGAGGCTTCCTCCAGTGCCAGGCTCTGAAGATGTCTTTGTCACTCACCTAGAAAAACCAGGGGGAAACTCTAAAGACTCCAATGCAACACACCAGGAAGGAGGCAGTGGGGGACACTCTAGCCAGTAAGGACCGAGTTCCTGAAAACCTTGAGCGTGTGTGTGTGTGTGTGTGTGTGTGTGTGAACAGCCCAGAAAAGGGAGGGCAGAGACCTCTTTCTCCTGGAGAAAGGATAGAAAGTAGAAGGATTCTGTAAGACACAGTTTTCAGTTAGGACCACTAATTCTGGGGCTGACTTTGACTCACGGGCTAGAGCTGAGACTCTCAACTCCTGCTGCACATTGGTGTTTCCTAGGGTGATGTTCACAATACAGATGCCCGGGCCCCACCCTGGCCTAATTTGATCAGAGTTTCCAAGAGTGGAGCCCAGGTCACAGTATGTTTGAAAAGCTCCCATGGGACTCCAGCGTGCTGCCAGCATTGAGAAACTCTTTTTGGGGGCAAAGATGGAGAAGTCAGTAGGATATGCCTGGAAAACCAGGCTGCTACCACAGCTGCTAGACATCCAGGTGCAGTCTAAAAATAGAAGTGGAGCTGGACGGCCATAAACTTTGTCTATGCAACATTGATACTAAGAGGTCTTGAGAGGCCTGGAACAGAGGGCACGTACTCAGGGCTTTTTCATCAGGATTTATGTGGGCCACTGAAATATTTTTATGGTATGCAAATGATATTGACCTGGTGGTAGAAAATGCAGATATTTCAGATAAAATCCAGGTGTCCAATAGGTAGCTGGGCTAAGGGGCTGCTCCCCCTCCCCACAGGCTGCATGGTCTCTAGGGTACCACGGTCTCCATCAGTCCCTGTGGACCCCCTCAAGTCTACGTGAGTTGCCTTCTAGACCATGCATACTCTCTTAAACTAGTGTTTTCTTAAACCAGGGAAGGTATTTCTCTGTACCCGGGCTTCATCAAAAGTTGGGAAATTAAGCATAGAGGGAGTACTTTGTGTTTCATCTGGCACTTTCTTTGTGTTAATTTGTTTGTTACCAGTGGAAATGGATCAACCTCTAGCTGAAAAGTCCTGCGTTCACTGGGGTAACTGGGGCCGTGAAGGTAATTGACAGGAGGTCTGTGGCTGAAGGAAGCAGAAGACACTTCCATAGGAAGGAGTGCTTAGTCGTTTTGGAAACAGCTTATGACATGGAAAATGTCTGCAAAAATCATCAGTGTTCTGTAGTCTGTCAAGCAAATTAGCTTCTTAAATATTCCTGCACTTGTTGCATTAAAGAGGGTGGAATGGAAACTTCTGCCTTTACAGTTTGGTTGCTGGGATTATATTCACCAGAACTTTAAGTTCTGCACATTTGGAGGAATTGGCTTCTCATTGTTTCCCTGCATTTTAGGCTACCTGGGATGGGGACTGGCCTTGATCCCTGGACAGAGGGAGCCCAAGAGGTAAGAGGAATCCTTCTGCAAAACATGGCCTCAATGGAGAAGCAGCCTCTGGCCCAGCAAACCACCAACTTCTCTTCCAGCTCTTGAAAAACAAACTGAAAGAGTGCCAACCTCAGGAGGGTGGGACGTGCTCACCTGGAAACAGGTGAAAGAGGGAAGAAGCCATCAAGCCCCTGGAGTGTGGGGCAAGGGGACTTGACCAGCCTCACCCTTCCCTCTGGACAAGTAGATGCCTCCTGAGCAGCCCTCAGTAGATGAGTAGGGGCTTCTAGCCCTGCACAGGCTAAGACAGAGGCACCGGGACCCCTGGGTGGCAGTGGCTTAGTCTGTGGAAACCTCAGAATCTGTCTTACATGCTTCACTGCTGTGGCTAATGCTTAAGAGAAGAGAGCAGGGTTCTTTCAGGGGAGAGTAGGGCACAGACAGGGAATACTCCATTGTCTCACAGTTCCCAAACACCCCATGCTTGATCCCCACAGGACAGACTTATCACCACAGTCAGGCCCAAGTCAGATCCCAAGGCTGACCTCAGGCCCTTCTGCTTCTCCATCTGGACTGTCTGGGGGTAGGGACCCTGTCTTAGTTAGCTTTGCATTCTCCCAGCACTAATACCAGGCATGGCCTGAAGGAGGATCTTCAAAAGAGAATTAGCACCTATGTCCTGCCCTGGTGGGAAAGGAAGACCACTTGGAGCTCTGCAATGCTTAGAACTTCAGAACCCTGAGTTTTCACTGCCTCCTCCCAGGTCCCCTGCCCAGTGCCCTTAGCTTGTCAGAGTGCCAGCTGGGCTCCTCACTCTCTTTTACTCTCCCAAAGGGGAGACCCACTCTTGCTGGGTTTGAGGTACTTACGGGTAATCCCAGAGGCCCTCGGTCTCCTTTTTCTCCTTGTGCACCCTTCTCTCCTTTTGCTCCATCTAGGCCTGCTTCCCCCTGGAGGAAAGGGAGACAGGAGGAGATCACAGAAGGGCATTACAACTCCTTCTTGTGTCCTGGAGTCCTGGATATAGGAGTGGGGTTCATAAGGGAGGGAGAAGGGTGGCAGGCTGGGTACTCCAAGAATCCCTGAGTTATGGGCCTTCCTGCCTCAGATATATCTTCTGTAGTAACTTTGAACTCCCCAAAAGGAAAAAGGATGGGAAAGTGGGGAAAACACACAGGGTAGTTTCAGGTCAGGCTTTGCCACAGGTGGTCATTTGGAGGGAGGGATGCCACAAATTTGCTGACAGATGCCTAGAATGCCACCCCAGAGGAGATTTCCCCAAAGTTCCCTGAAGAATGGCAGGGCAACAGGAAAGGGCCATTGTCATGCCGCCAGCCTCCAGCCCCCCCTTATTCACTTAAAATGTTTTGGGGGAAATTGGAAGAGCCTTATTTCAAAGGCCAGTGGTTTGGCCCTGGGGAGAGGGTCCCATGCCACGTCATCATCTCTCACCTATACTTCAGCGTGACAGGGTGAAAAGGGCATGTGAAAAGGGTTTTACCATTTGCTAAGACTTTAACTTGTCACCTCATGGGGTTGATGGATGGATGGATGGATGGGAAAATTCTGTATCCAAAGCATGTCAATGCTGGATGTTAAAGGGACCATAGGACTTCATTCTGCTCCAGTGGTACCCACTGACTGGAGCATCACATAATGCAATGTAGGGAGCAAGATCAGTTGGACCTCTGAGGTACTTTCCTTCTTTTCTGCTATGATTGATGCTGTCCCTCCCCCACCCCTTGCCCAGCATCTGTCACATGACCTTTTCTTACCTTTGGTCCAGGAACACCTTGGAGGCCCTGCATTTGGAACCAAAACAAGATACATTAGAACTGCCTTTCTAGCTATCTTCCTTGGATCAAAGAAGAGCAAGGTTTTAAGGTGCAGAGTATGTTCTGGGGTCCCTGTCCATAAAAACTGGAAGGCTAAGTGGGGTCGAGTCCTAGCCAGTCTGTCAGCCAGAGGCTGACAGAAAATCTCTCTGTGGCCCGTGGCTGACCCAGAGTCTCATGAAGAGAGGATGGAGGAAACAGCAACATCTAAATAACATACGCAGAGGTCTTAGAACAGTCTGGCCCACAGGAATTTTCAATAAGTGTTGACTATTACCATTTTTGTTACTACTGCTTCTGTCAGTGACAATGTGTGACAGTGCCATGGAGACCATGAACCATGCAGAGGTACAGGCCAGCATCTGTTGGTATGGGATGCTTGGGGACCTCTAGCTGCAATGTAAAGGGGTCCCATGATTACAGAAATGGGGGGCTGGTTTTAATGGGTCACTTTCTATTTTATCCAGTCCTTTTGTTGGCTGGGTAGCAAGAAGGAGGAACAGAACTCTGATGGCAAAGGATTAGTGAATGTTGGGGAGAACTCAGTGGCAAAGAGAGACTTGGCTGCCATGACAGCTAATTGTTTTCAGGGAGTTGGGCAATGCCCAGGATCCTTGAGGACACTGGGATGTGCTTAACATGCAGTGGAAGAGGAGTAGGGAGGAGGTGACAGTGACCTGACGCTGAGGGTGAGCTCAGTGAATGCCATGGGAAGGGGATATTAAGGACCTAAGCATAATGGACTAAAATGCCAACAAGCCCTCCAAACTTACGGGAAGTCCAGGAGGCCCCTCTGGCCCTGGTGGCCCAGGAACCTAGAAACCAAAGGAAAGCTGTGTTACACTCCACGTGGTCCTCTCTCCTGACACGGCCATGGATCCAACTGGGGATTGCAAAGCCACAGGAGCACAGGACTGCCACTGGAGGTCAACCCAGCACACAGTTTACCAAAAGAAGGTTTAGGACAGGTCAGAAACTCATAGCAACCCAATTGCCTGCACAGTGTTGGAAATAAACATTGTCAGGAAATGTACCCAGAACACCTATTCTTCCAGATTTTTCTGAAAAAACAAAAACAAAAAACAAACCAGACAATCTAGTGGCAGTAGATTCATGCCATGTTTGTGCATGGAACAGTTGCCTGGAGAGGAGTAAGAGCATTTCTATCTAGGTGGGGCATAGATCTTTGGTTTATCCCAGTCCTTACCACTCACCACTATCTAACTCAGACCTCTTGCATTCACTTATTGTGTGCCTGGTTCTCATAGACATTTGAGTTTGAAACCCTGGGCTCAGGGAGCAGAGATTGGTTATCTGGAATGGGGGTGAGGCTGAGACATCTCTGAAGAATCTTCTTCAAAAGAACCCCCTCCCCAGGTTTGTAATAAACAGGACGGGGACTGCTGGTCTTGTTTCCCTTGAGGACAAATGGCAGCAAGAGTGATTCAGACTGGACAGTGAAGAGGGAAGAAACCAGGCCACCTTCTTCTCTGTAGAGATGCTGCCTTGCAGAGTCTGTGTCTGATGAAGATAGGCATCCATTTGTCTACAGTTAGCCAGAGGTTGCTCCTTTCTGAGCTGGTCATCTTGCCTCAGCTTCAGGTCCTCAGATGCTTCTCCTCTCCAGGGATAGAATTGTCAGGAGTGTGGCCTCACTGGCAAGTCCTCTGCTAGGCCACCTTGCACTGAACAGACAGGTAAACCCATAATGTCCTTTGGACCTGTGGACTTTTTGGCTCCACAGTCATCTCTTTGTAGGAAACATAATCTTTGGACACTAACTTACTTTTTTCTTATAAATAAGTAACACATGGATTGGATTATGGTAGTGGTTATACAAATCTATACATCTATTAAGTTTCATAGAACTTATATACACACTCATGAAGAACTCAGTTTTACCTCTATAATAATTTTAAAAATTAAAAAGTACTTTAAAGTAATACAGACTCATTAAAATTTTTTTAAAAATTAAAGAGAATTGAAAGAAAAAGGGTCAACACGGTTTACCTAGCTGAGAAGCACTGCTAATTTTTTGCTTTATTTGCGTCCACTTTTTTGATGCATAAAATACAGTTGAATATACACATATACTTATGATGATCTGTAATTTGATTTTCTACTGTTTTGCCTTTTGACAAGAAACCCATTTTTCCACTTTTTGCATACTCACTACGAGTCTCCTTCCAATGGTGATGTGCCACCTAGCCAGAGCTTTGGCAGCGCTTGGCACGAGGAAGGCTCCCAGAACTGGAGGCTGTCATTATTATTGGTAGTAATAGTTGTGCTAGTGTGAGTTATTTAATCCTTTCCTTCTTGTTAGAAACAGGCTGTTCTGAGTTGTACTTGAAATAGTTCTGGAAGGAACATGCATATGTATAATGCTTTTCCTGAATTTAGGACCATTTCTTTAGGACGTTATCCATTTCTAAACAAGAAACCTATGTAAGGTAGAATTTCACTCAATTCAGGTAGGACTGGCAAACCCATAACTGACAGGGGCTGGGGAAGCTCTTGCGAGATGGAAGAGGCTTGGTGGCCTCTCCTTTCACTCTGGGGTGGTTCCTGGATTGCCCAGGCCTTCTCAGTAAACATCTCTCCCTCAGGAATCCATGAGCTCTGTTGCTTTCCGCTGAGCCTCCAAAATGTGTGATGTTCTCCATCTTCTGCAAACCTTGCTTCCGCCCTGACTTCCCTCCCTCTCAATCTGCCGTTCTTTTCTCCTCTCTTCACTTTCACACTTCTCAAAGAACCATGCCTCTCTCTCGAAAGCCTTCCTCTGAAGCTTGGCAGCAAACTCCTACAAAGTCATCCACTTTGCCTAAGTGGCACATCTTCTGGGATGCTGGTTCCCTGAGTGGCTGCTACTCTAGTGGCTGTTGAGGGATGATTGTTTCCTTTAGCAACAGACTGTAGCAGTAGGGCAGAAACACAGTGGTGCTCTGTGAACCCTGCTGGGACTGGTCAGGTGGAGCATGTGGAGCAGCCCTGGGGCTCAGTGTCCGGCCATGCCACAGTGCTGCTCAGGAAGCATGGCAAACACTGAGCTTCCTGCCTCCCCAATGTTAGGCAGCTGAAGTATCATTCTAGAGCACAGAGCATCCTGGAGAGACTTTTGTCTCTGATGAGCCCCTTGTCCAACGATTGCCCATGATGCAAAAGGAAGAGCAGGTGTGACCTACCTCTGCTCCCGGTTCACCTTTCTCCCCGGCTTCTCCTTTCTCTCCCTGTGGGCACAAAACACCAGGACATGAGGGCCAGCACTGGGGGGCCTGGGCACAGGCATACCCTTACGTTTGTGACTAATCTGACTGGGATTAGGCCACTCCAGGTGTCAGCACAGAACACCATGGGGACTGTGCAGGTGGTCAGCCTGCAAGACAGGGACTGTGGGCAGGCGTTGTGGCCACCTTCTTCAGGGATCTGAGGCTCTAGCAGTGGGAGGAGGCAGTGGTGCTCTGTATGATTCCTGAAGTGAATGGACCCTGGGATGGACCGGCATGAGGCAAAGGTGACAACTGTCACTCCCACTGAGTATATTACAATGTCACCAAATACATGTGTTATACACATGAAAGCATGTAACATCTGCTACGATCATGTTGTGAATATGTTACACACACCACTAGACACTAGAGAGACACTTTTCCTGGCCTGGGCCTTCAAGAAGCAAGCTGCTGTATGAGAGCTGCTTACTATAGAGAGGGCTATGTGGCAGGGACCTGTAGGAGACTTTAGGAACTGTGGAACTCAGTCCTACTATGGCAAGTAACTGAACCCTGCCAACATCCAGTGAGCTGGGAAGAGGGCTCCCTGCTCTAGATGAGAACACAGCTGGCTGGCACCTTGACTGCAGCCTTAGGAGACCTGGGGCAGGGACCCAACATGCCTGGACTCCTGATCCACAGAAACTATGTAACATCGAATGTGGGCTGTTTTAAGCTGCTAAATTTGTGGTAATATGTTATGTAGCACTAAAAAATGAATATGGCTCAAGAACCCAGAACCTCTGAGGGGAGAAGAAAGCTGCCCCGCCCCTCCCAGGAGCACAGCTTCTATCGATGGCGATGCCCCTCTGCGGAGTGGCTGCCTGTCTGTTCTGGTTGAGTAGACAGCTACGGTCAGGGTCGGCTGAAGGTTTTCTACCCTGGGCCAGATGTGGGACTTGCTGACTTCTGAGGCTCTGTCTACGTTCCAGAGGGGAATTTCAAGCCTCTGAGCCCAGCATTTTTGGACCAGGTGGTGCTAAAGACAGAGTCCGTGACGTGCACGGAAGAGGCTGAAACCCTGTTTACACCCAAATGCAACAGCTGCTCATCAAAAGGACCTGCAGGCCTGACAGTGAGCTTGGGTTAGTGTAGCCTTGTCTCAGTGCCAGGCACCCTAGGCTGGTGATGCCGGTGAGGAGCCCTCACACCTTTGCTCTCATCCACAGTTGCCTCCTGAACACCCTTGACACCCAGCCCTCTCGCCTTACTGTAAATCCTGGGATCCCAATTGGACCAGGCAATCCTGTCGCTCCGGGCCTCCCTTGGTCACCTGGTTCTCCTTTCTCCCCGGTTGGGCCGTCTAGACCCTACAGGTTGACAAAGACCTCTGTTAGTGAGGTGTGACCATCTCACAGTTGGCATCTGTGACCATCTATGGAACACATGCATGGCTCCCATCCTCCAAGACTGGGTGTTGAGGATGGTGACCATTTTACATATGGAAACCACTGAGTCAGTAACTTAGCTGGACTGGCCAAGGCTCCTTTTCCACACATGCAACCTCTCCAGGTATAGACATTCTGCATGTGTTCCAAAGAAGCCCCTGCCTGTCTCTTTTCCAACAACCCATGAAGGGTCCGGGGAAGCCATTATTATCCCCATTTTAGAGATGAGGAAACCGAGGCGCTGCAAAGCTCAGTGACTTTCCCAAGGACAAAGACAGACAAGGACAGAACAGGATTCAGGTCTTCTGAGTCAGGACACCAATGGTGTGGGTGTAACCAAGTGAGTCCCCGCCCCAGTTCCTTGGCTCCAGGCAGCAGGGATGGAGGTGGTGCATGCAGAGTAGTCTGCAGCCCTGCCACTCACTGGTGAGCCAGCTTGTCCCGTCTCCCCCTTCTCTCCTTTCTCTCCCGGGCTCCCTGGTTGTCCAGTTTCTCCCTTTATTCCTGGAGGCCCATCCTTTCCTGGGAGTCCTTGGGGGCCTGCAGGGCCCATGTCTCCTGGTTTGCCTCGAGGTCCCTTTAGAAAATAGCAACAGCATTTCTTAGGTGAGAAGAGAGAGGGTGAGAGGCCAAAAAAGACTGGAAAGTCTAGACTCAGTTTGCTGCTGCTTGATTGGAGCAGGAGAGGAAGGGGACCCCCAAGGTGGCTCTGCTACCCCTCCCAACGCTGCAGCAAGAGCCCCTCCTCTGCTCCCTTCCCCACAGGGACCCCCAACTGGACCTTTTCCAGAGCTTTCTGCTCTGCCCCCCCATCCTCCCAGGGTGAGGACCATTTTCAGAGGCCATCCTGGAGGTAGATGTCTCTTCTTACCTTTTCCCCATCATGTCCTGGAGGGCCTGGCAGTCCAATCTCTCCCTGTAGGCAGAACAAGTAAAGGTGACTCTAGCACTGACGACAATAGTAACTGTCATTTACACAGCCTTTCCTTGGGGTCAGGCACCCTTCTCTGCACCTTCCACAGAACTCAGAAGAGAATTTTAATTCTCACTGCCATCCTGGGGCATGCATGCTTTCGTTGTCTTAGATTTACTGAAAAGGACCTCAAAGCACAGAGTATATATGTGCCCAAGACCCACAGTTAGTGATGTGGGAAGTGGGCATCCAAGCCTGGGCTTCCGAAATCCATGGTCCATGTTTTAGCCACAACCTCCCAACCCTCCTGTCCAGGGGCTACCCTTCATCTTCACAACTGGCCCCTTCCTTGAGGTGGGGAGGTGGGGGAGCTGTAGAAACATGATTCAGGTATTCCAGAGAGGAGCAGAGGGGAATGGCCTGATGGTCCAGGGGCACACATAAGCACCAGTGGGTAGTGCTGAGAAAAACACATGGTGGTGGGTGGAGGGTAAAGGAGAAAAGGAAAACAAAAGCAGTGGGTGAGAGAAGGTGAGAGTGAGGAGGGTCTCAAATGCTACCTTCTCTGGGGGATGGTGTGGGGTCCCCGGTGAGGGCCTGATGGTCAGGGACAAGGGAGCATCTCCAGGCTCCATCACCTCAGAAGGGTCTCTGGAGTATAGGACCCAAGGCATACAGACTGCAAGGGAAGAATGGTGGAGCCCAGGGCCGGGGAAGCGAGAGTGGCTGGGGTGGGCAACAGGGCCCAAGGTCCCTAGGAGCATGGGGGAGGAATTTAGGGCAGAGTGTGGTGGTCTTGGGAAGATGAGGGGGTCATTTGATCACTTGATTAGGGATTCAGTGTCCTAGCAGGGTCTTTGTCCTCCTGGTCAAGGCAACTTTTACCTTCTGGCCTGGAATCCCTGGAGCTCCAGGTGGGCCTATTTGCCCAGGAAGACCAGGAGGCCCCTAAAAAAGAAAGAAAAGACACATGGAAGAACTTTCCAAGCAGAGAGGTGGCCTGTCACAGAGGGCTATAGGTGGAGGGTGCCCTATAGGGAGGAATTGTTTTCAAATATTTCTTCAGGAGTACAAACACTTTTTTTTTCCCCAAAAGAAATAACACGGGAGAATCATAAAACACAGATAAGCACTGAGTGTGTTGGGTTGGAGTGGGGTGGGCTGACAGTCAAGGCCAACAGCCTCTCCCTCCCTTCCCTCAGGCTCTAAGGAGATAAATTTGACCTTCCCAGAGAACGATTTATGTTGTCAGGAAACTACCCGAATGTCCACCAAAGGTGAATGTATGGTATGTCTACACAGTGGCATACGATGCAATAGGGAAAAAGAGCAAAGCACTAATCCATGCAATGATGAATGGACCTTAAGCACATTATTACGCAGAGCAAAAGAAGCCAGACACAGACAACTATGCATGGTGTGATTCCATTGCATGAAACTCTAGAAAAGACACATTTAATTTACAGTGACAGAAAGCAGAACTGTGGTGGTCTAGGGCTGGGATAGGTGTGGGATCAACTCCCAGGGCTCACGGAGGACTATTCTGCAGATACTGGGATAGTAGGGACAGAGTGTACACGATCATGAAAACTCAAACTCTGTTCTTAAAAATGGGTACATTTTATTGTAAGCTATACTTAAGATTGAATTTAAAAGAAAAATGGTATGTTTCCAGAAAAGTTTTATTTCCAAGAGCTATTTCAACTAATATAGGTTAATGTCCCCAAAAAAGCTCATGGGATCCAGAATCACATAGTTTATACTAATGTCGGGGACTCTGATATCATGTAAGTGGTGTTTGACTCACTGTGTGTCATTCTTCTGTTCACGCAGCCATAAAAATTACTAGGTGAATTGAGATTCCTAGAGATTGAGGACTTTATGGTTTGACCTCCCCTTTCTTTTTATTTATTTATTTATTTATTTATTATTCATATGTGCATACAATGCTTGGGTCATTTCTCCCCCTGCCCCCACCCCTCCCTTACCACCCACCCCACCCCCTCCTTCTCCCCCCCACCCCCTCGATACCCTGCAGAAACTATTTTGCCCTTATCTCTAATTTTGTTGTAGAGAGCGTATAAGCAATAATAGGAAGGAACAAGGATTTTTGCTGGTTGAGATAAGGATAGCTATACAGGGAGTTGACTCACATTGATTTCCTGTACGTGTGTTACCTTCTAGGTTAATTCTTCTTGATCTAACCTTTTCTCTAGTTCCTGGTCCCCTTCTCCTATTGGCCTCAGTTGCTTTTAAGGTATCTGCTTTAGTTTCTCTGCGTTGATGACTTCCCCTTTCTACCTTGGAAATTGAACTTGGTGGTGGTTGTTTTAATAATGAATATTTCCTGAGACTCTGTCACCGGTAGGTACATGTGCAAAACCAGCATGCAATTCAAGTGCAGGTAGTGAGGCTGATTTCTAGGAAAGGGGGCAGGTGGAGGGTTGTTACTCGTTTTTCAGGAAAAAAGAGAAACATAAAAACACCCCCTGTATGCTGCTATCTCTTCAATGCAGCTGTAAACAGAGCCCATAATTACAGCGTCCCTGAGTGCACAGCTAGATAGGTGAGGCCATCACCATGGACAGCGCTGACCCTGGCATGGTTGCTACAGAGGGCCATTTCTGTCCTGCCCCTGCCAGGCTCAGCTCACCCTCTGCCCAGCATGGCCCAGAAGCCCAGCACTTCTAGGCTGTGCTCCTCGTGCCCAGCTCAGCACCAGGGAAAGTGAAGGAGGACGGACACTCACCATCAAGGCCAATGTTCGGATCTCCTGAAAAACAACACCATGCAATTAGCTGAAGAGCAAATCCAGGGCCACCTGGAAGGTCCCCTCTGCTCACTTTTGGCCCCTTGAAGGAGGAGGCAGACCCTCATAGGTGGGCTCCATGGCTCCCAGCCCCAGGCCCAAGCCTCCCACCCCAGATGTTTGCCTAATTTTTTTTTTTTGCGGTGTTGGGGTTTGAACTCAGGGCTTACACCTTGAGCCATTCCACCAGCCCTATTTTTGTGATGGTTTTTTTGAGATAGGGTCTCTCGAACTATTTGCGTAGGCTGGATTTGAACCACTATCCTCCTGATCTCTGTCTCCTGAGTAACTAGGATTACGGGCATGAGCCACTGGCGCCTGGCTGTTTGTAGTCTTGACAGAGAACCCTCATAAGGCCAATGCTGCTGTAGTGTAGTCCACAATGGATGCAAATAGGCCCTGTGGTGGTTAATCTTGTCAACTGGATTGCACTGAGAAGCACGTAGGAGATTGTAAAGCACACCTCTGAGTGTGTGTGAGGGCATTTCCAGAGAGGATTAACAAAGGGGGTAAGACCTGCCCTGAAGGCGGGTAGCACCATCCCATAGCCTGGAAACCCAGATGGAATAAAGGGGAAAAGGAGAAAACCCATTGGCTCAAGTGTTCTCTCTCTGCTTCCTGGCTGCCATGATGTGAGCTTCTCCTCCCCATTTTGCCTTCCCTACCACGATGGACTCAAACCTCTGAAACCATGAGCCAAAATAAATCTCTCTTCCCTTAAGTTATTCATGTCAGGTATTTTTCCTCAGTGAAGAAAAGTCTGACTACAACTTCTCCTCCTCTTTACCAGAGGAGGAAGGAACCAGCAGCTCTATTCTCCTAATCATCCGTGAGGGACCCTCTCTTGTTCTTTCCTTTTCTCCCAGAAGCCAGATTTCAAGCTGCACCTTCCTTTGAACAGACGGAGCCATACAGCAAACTGCAGACCCATTCAAAACGTAGACTAGGGGGAAGATTGTTGGCTAGGAAAAAGAATTTTCCACCTTGTAAATGGTTTTACACAGGTACACAGATTCCTTTGAAGGAGCAGTTCTCAATCTGGAAGGGTTTTGGTCTCCAGGGGACCTTTGGTCACATCTGGAGACACATTTTGGTGGTCACAACTGAGGTGTGTTGGCTACCATATCTAGTGGGTCAGGGTGCTGCTAAATGTCCTGAAACACACAGGACAGCCTCCTTGTCCACTGCAATGATCATTCAGCACCAAATGTCAAGAGTGCCAAGGTGGAGAAGCCCAGTTTAAAATGTGGGGAGCTCATGAATTTGAAATAGGGTGAAATTGACACAAAAGGAAGATATGCTCCAGGAACACAGATTCTACCATGGAAATGAGTGGTGTGGCCTGAAGATGTGGGGCCCCAGAGTCCTGGATGGGAAGCACCCTGTGGGTGCCAGGTTGCTTCTACCAGGGCTCTTAGTTACCCAAAATTGGATATTGGCCAGTTCTCTGTCTGGGCCCAGAAAGAGAACCAGGTCACTTGATGCCAAATAATGGAAGCCATTTGCTTGAAGGTTGCACAGCCAAAGGAGAGAAAGCCGGGGAGAGATGTCCTGGAAGCTCAGCTCAAAGGCTTGACTGCAGGGCAGTAAGTATTGAGGTCCATCCACAAGATCTGGGATGGAGCCCACTTACCTGGAGAGCCTCGTTGATATTTCCATTGTAATCCACCATCTCTCCTTTCCCGGGTTCTCCCTTGGAGCCCTAGAAGGCAGAGGAGATCTCACTCAGGACCTGGAGCAGGAGGAGCCTGAGGCCTATACCACACACTGCCTGCATCTGCCTGCACACAGGGTGGCCCAGAGTAGTTGGAGTGGGCTTGTCAGGGGCTCCAGACAGTCTCTGTGAATGCTCAGGGTTACAGAACAAGAAAGCAGCCTCTGCTTGAGCAGCTGGGACTAGACAGGCCTGGACCAGGCCAAGTGTAATCGCACTGGACATGTGGGCCTCCTACCTGCCTCCAGCACACTCTTCCCTTCCCTGACCCTCAGAACCTGAGGGTCAGCACTTCATGCAGTGACTCCAGGTAAGGGATGCACATACCTTGGGGCCAGCTGGTCCCTGCTCTCCAGCTGCTCCAGGCTGCCCCTGTTGCATGACAAAATGAGTGAAATGAGTTGGTATACCTTAGTGCAAGAGACCCTCATGTTTCCAGATAGGCCACTTGTTAGGGGCCATGGAGAGATCAGGAGGCTCATCTTAGCTGAGGCCACAGGACACAGACCTCTCTGTCCATTACAGTACAGGCTCTGCCCCTTCAGGGAACATTACTCCAAACCCTGCCCACACGCCTTTCTGAATCCTCTGGATCCTTCCTGCTTTGTATTTAATGACATTCCCTCTGCCTTCTGTTAGTTGTTAGTGACTCCCCTTTGTCCCTCTCTCCAGTCCCCTAAGTGAGCCACCTCCTTGGGAGAAGGGACCTGGTCCTTTACATCTCCTGATTTCCATTCTGCACAGATAGCAAGGACTCAGTTCCTTTTTGCCCATTGCTTGGCACTCAATTGCCAGAGAGCCCATGAAGTGCTTTTAGAGCCACTCTCTTCAAGAAAAAGTGGAACTGCAGGACACGCATGGGGGGCAGGTGAGTTAGCAGGACACAGGTAGAAGGATGTCAACCTCCCCCAGAGGCTGGGGCCTGGGGTGTGTTGATCCTATTGGAAGCAGGACAGAGTGATGGGGAATGGATAAAACAGTTGTGTTAACTGTGAACAACAAGCTGCAGGTCTACTTTTTCTGGGGTGATGTTAACAGTGAAGACAAAAGAAAAATCAAAGTGGAAAGTAAGAGATAAAGTGAATGCTTTCAGGAACTCAACTCTGCTGACCGTGCAGTTAGCTGGTTTACCGTTTGCCTCCCCCCTGCTCCCTTCTGATCCACCCCATATCCCCAGTGGCATTTTAGTCATTGTGCACCTGTAAGGAACACACAGTCTTTCATAGGAGTGGCTGGAGAGAAAGGAGAGCCTGTATACACCGGTGGCTTGAGAAGATACCAGAGGCCAAGGCTCAGGGTCACTCTCTGGCTTGTGTCCTGCCGCTGCACTGCCTTTTACATGACCACTGTTTCAGTGGATAGCTCTCTGAGTCCCAAGTGAACCAAAAAAATAGAAGCCAGGGATCATGGCTGGTTTTCTTTGTGTCCTGAGTTCCAGCCCTTGGGGTCCAATCTAGGGACAGCAGGTGTCTGAGCTGGGGCTTGAATTCCTGAGCCAACCCTCTTCCTGTACCTTGTCTCCTTGCTTTCCTGGGGGCCCAACCTGGCCATCCACTCCAGCTTCTCCCTGCGAAGAAGAGAGATGGCGTGAAGTATACAGAGCAACCATGACAGCTGAAGGGGTAGAAGACTTTGGGTCTCTCCCCACTGGCTTCAAATAACCATCCCACCTAGGACTCTGACCCCTCCAAGGGCCTGGCATGGGTCGCCCCACCTTCTGGAAGCACCCCTGCACAAGCCACTGCCCACTCCCTTCCTCCTTGGAGTCTTGAGTGTTTATTACTGCCTCCTACCCTGCCAGGCCCTCTTGGCCACTGGCTAACACACACAAGCCCAGTGTGTGGCACCCAGAATGGACTTTGTGTTGCCAATAGCCTGACTGCAGAGAGGCTGGGACACTTGGGAAAGCACCTCAACTGGTTCTGCCTGGGTGACAGAAGGGTGCATGAGGGACCCAGACATCTGGGGAGGGGGCTCCAGAAGCTCCAGGATGGGAAGGGCAGGAAGAGGTGGACTGGAGGAGGCTTGCTCCAAACACTTCACTTAGACATTTTGCCTGGGCCTGGAAAGTGGATCTGAGTTTGGGGACCCAGACTTCCAGCTCATCCTCCCTTTTTTTGTCAGGATGCAGACAATGGTGGTCAGGTGTCCCTAACCCCCAGGACCAAGCTGTGGCAAGCCCATATTCTGTGGCTCAGTGGGCTTCCCTGGGGCTGGGGGCATGTGTGTGTGTGTGTGTGTGTGTGTGCTCAGTGCCTTTGGCGAAGGTGCTGCTCTTATGAGAAGCTCTGGTCCAGCCACAGGTGGACAGCATGTGGGGCTTGGCCAGAGTCCCTGCCTGCCACCTCATCTTGCCTGCCCCCATGCTCCTGTGCTCCCTACACAATGTCCCTGTGGATCATGGGTCTGGGGGCAGCACCACCAACCAGCATGATAAATGTTGGTGCAGTGAATGCATGCACTGCCTCAAATCGTGGAGAACAATTCACGCCTTCATTTTCTTGCTGTGTCAAGCAATGCAGGAGCATCAGCTTTGGGAAGAACAAGTGTCACCTCTGCAAAGGAAAGTGAAGGCAGTCCACCTGTAGCCGTCCCCACTATTCCCTTCCCCCACCACCATGTGTGTCTGCACCAGGTAGGCCCAGCTGATCACTGAGTGGCAGCTTATCCAGAGCCACAGTGAGGCTTTCTGGCTCTGCTAAGGTTTTGACGCCTTCAGTCCCTGGCTTGGTTCCATCTTAGCTCTCTGAATCAGTGGGACCATCCAACTGCCTAGGGAGACAAGGCTCCTGGAAGCAGGAGCCCAGTTCATGTGACTTTTCCAGAACCTGCTGGAGAATACTGCACATCTGGAACAGGAGAAGGCTAGAGAAGGCCAGGTGTCCAGGATAGAGTCTCTGATCAATGCAGAAGCTAAAGCTCATGGGCAAACATCTCCCTTGCCACTTATCTCAGGAAAAACTCACCTTTGGCCCCGGAGGCCCAGGGAGTCCTGGGGAACCAGGTTCACCCTTGCTTCCTCCAGTGGAGTTGCCAGCATCACCTTTTTCTCCCTAGGGGTGGAAGGGAGAATTACATCACTGGCTCCGCTTGAGGGGGTTGTTGATCCCTGGCCTGCTGCTTTGCCCCCTCACAGTTCAGAGGTGTGGAGGCAGGAAGTCACCCCCAAGGCCAGGCTGAATGAAGGAGGGACACCAAGGGGCCCTTGAGCTCCAGCTTCTGGGCTCCAGACCAGAGGTCTTCAGACCCTGTGCTAGCCTGGCCTGCCTGTGGGACAGACAGAGGACAGTGTGGAGCTGGTAACTGAGGGGGACAGGTTTAGAACTAAAACAAGGGACCTGTCACAGTGAGGCTTGAGCAGCGTTTCTCCAAGTGTGCTCTGTGGAACACTCCCCAGTGGGTTGGGAATATCTGTAATATGATAAAAGGGTCTGGTAGCTAAAGGATGTTGAGAAATGCAGTGATGGGAAGCTTTGCCTGCTCCTTCCCTGCAGGGTGCTCAGAGCCTCTGACAGCCTGAGGCACTGGCACTGTCCAACAGGACTAGCTTAGGCAACTTTCCCTAGACTTATTTGACCTCAAGTCTTTTAAAAATGAATCAACTTATAAAAATGACTTTAGATGAAGTATCTTTCAAAGCCTGTGGACTGTTGGCTGGTTTTCAGAACATGTATCAAGAAATCCAGCCAGGCCATCACTACTGAGTTCTTTGAATTGGTTTTTATTTTTGCCAATTGGGGCCTATCTTGTGATATTCCCCTTCTCCCAATCTGACTGTGCTCTAGCCACCCTCCTTCCTAGATGGGATAGGGATACCTCCAATGCTGGGGCCTGAAAGAATGTGCAGGACTGGGAAAGACCTGAGACTTATGAAGAGGTTGTCATTCAGAGCTTGTCCATACCTACCTTTTGTCCAAGGAGCCCAGAGAGCCCAGGGGAACCAGCAGCCCCCTTCTCACCCTGCAGGGAAAGGTGAACAGTGCAGGGTTAGGGGCTGCTTCTCTTTGATGCTGGTGCAGGTGCCATCCCCAACCAGATACACTTGTTTCCTCACCCATGCCTATCTGCCCCCATCCCAACCTGCTTCTTCCTGGGCCACTTCACACTGGTGACAGCTGGACACTGTTTTTCCATTCCCTGTGATCCTGGCCCTCACCCATCATAGGATGGAGAAGTAACACCTGCCACAGACCATAGCAACAGCCAACAGCCTTCACACCCTTCTGGGCTTCTGTGGGGAGAGGCAAGCAGTTTGGAAAGCCAGAGCTTGAGGGAGCCTCTTTTGTTTTCCTGTGCTCTTTTTCATGGTCTTCAGAAGTCTCCCCAACCCCTGCTTTTCTGTCTACCTCCTCTTGCATCTAGGAAGTCAAAAACCATCTAACCAGTATCCCTCCTTTGATGGACTATTTTGAGAAGTCTATGTCCTGTTATGAATCAAATTATGTCCCCCTCCCTAAATTGAAATGTTGAAGTCCTAATACCCAGTACTTTAGTGACCTTATTTGGAAATTGGGTCATTGAAGATGTGACTAGTTAACATGAGGTCAGACTAGACTCTGGCGAGTGTCCTCCTAAGAAAGGGAAGTTTGGACACAGGCATACATGCAGGAAGAACGCCATGGGAAGATGGAGACAGAGGTGGAATGGGGCTTCTACAAGCCAAGGAGACCTGAAGATTGCCAAAATCTACCCAAAGCTAGAGGAGAGAAGCACCAAGGAGAGTCTTTTCAGAGCCTTTCAAAAGGAGCCAGTCCTGCCTACACTGTGGTTTTGTACTCTTTGCCTTGCAGAATGTGAAAGAAAACTTTCCTGCTATTTGATATACCCAGCCCCGTGCCATCTATCCTCGGTACAGGCTGGTTGGATACAGCCTGTAGGCAGCCAAGGGTGCTGAGAAGGGCCAGGTAGAGGCCCAGTGATGGGAGGGAAGGGAGGCCTGAGGTGGTCCCCACTGCCTGGCTTGTCTGGGCAGTTCCTTAGCCTAGGCATCCCATAGCAGGCAGGTTAAAAGGAAGGGATGCAAGTCCTTCCTTTAAGGAACCTCACGAGCATGGATTGCGGGGGGCAGTTCTCCATCCACTGGAATTTTGTTGGTAGCCAATGGCTTCTGGGAGGGGTGGTGGGTTCCCAAGTGCAATCTCTGCAGCTTTACGGACCACCTGCCTTCTCCTCTCCTGGGACACATGTACTCACAGCACACTGCAAGCCACACAGCAGCTGTGGGTTGGGCTGGGGATCAGAAGGTCCAGGATGATGAGGGTACACACTCAGAAACACACTATCCTGCTCTCTGTCTCCTCTTTCCTAGCAAACTGGGGAGCCCAGCTTCCCTGTTGCTCCTTGGTGTCCCCTTGAGACTTACAAGAAGTCACTAAGATGAAGGGGAAGGGGGATAAAGGTGGATGGGCAGTGACCAGAGTTCCCAGAATACCTTTAGTACATCTTTTTAAACAAAGGGTGCTCTGGTCAAAAAATTTTTGAAAATGCTGCATAAGATAGTGCCTTTTTAGGTTGTCCCAATTGTATATTGAGCATATTAAAGTCTCTGTGAAGGCCTGCAGCAAAGAAACCTTTGTAATATTTTTAATCTTTATTCCTCAAGCATATTTGACTACTGAAAAAATTTTCATGTTACAACTGTTATTATCTTAGACAAGAAAGAGACCCATGGAAGTGTAGGGGAGGGACAATGGTCATGGCCTGCTGCAGCTGATGTGTGTGCAGACCAGAATCCAGGGAAGAGGAACAGATAGCAGTGTGCTCCTGAAAAGCTGGTCCTTCCCTGCTCAGCCAGTTCCCGAGCTGCCCCAGAGGGACCAAGAACAAAACAGCAGCAGCCTCTCCCATCTCCACTCCCACAGCAGATCCAGATTCCACGCAGCCCAGAACATTCCCTCTGCATTAGTACCTTGATGCCTGGACTCCCTGGCTCACCCTGTGTAGAAGGAGAAATGGCTCAGGTAAAGAAACCATAGAGAAAGAACAACGAGCAAGGGCCCTGTGTGGGTGTGGGGTGTTGGTGAAATACCTCCCTCTGCTCAGTGGAGATCGCCCCGTCCTCCGGGAAAGGAGGCCTCTGGGCTGCTGACACTCAGAAGCTCCCATTCTTCCTCTCAGTGGAGCGGCAGGTGAGAGGCAAAGAGCACGCCCCAGGAGGAAGGAGAGGAAGGAATGAGCATTTGGTTTGGACGCAGTGCCCCTGGAAGCAGACCTGCCACAGAGCACTTGTTCTGCCAGGTGCCCCCACTTGCTTGGTTAGGGTGGGGGTTCAGGGGAAAGACCCCTACCCTCCTCTCTGAAGCGCTGGAGACACGTGGCTGCTGAGTTGTGGTGTGCACAGGAAAGAGCTGGCTTTCCTTTGTGGCGGGCAAGTGAGGCCTTTAGTGGGGCTGGTAAGCCTTTGTTACTTACTTGCAAGACTTAGTTAAACATCTGTCTCGAGGTTGTGCATCTGGCATGAATGTTGCTTTTAGAAAAATGTTTCCTACTCCTCTCCTTGGCCCAGCAGCCACCACCCTCTGAGCCCCTATGTCCCTGTCTGTCATCTGGAACCATCTCTCCCATCCTGACTCTGACTTGCGGAGTCTCAGCATTTACTCACTCACCTTCATCCCAGCCACTGCGATCCCAGGAGCCCCCTAGTGGAGAGAAAAGAAGCGTGAAGTTTTCCTCAGTCAGGGTCTGCAACCAGGAGGTAGCCAGTCTCTTCCTGGTGAGGTGTGAAGGACTGGAAACCACACCTGGTGACTGGTGGCCCAATAGAAGTGGGAGGGGACAGTGGGGGCACCAGAGAGGGCACCAGAGGATCAAGTGTGAGCCGCCCGGCTGCTAGATTCCAGGGCTCCACTGGGAGGTACACTGGGAACTATGGGCCCATAGGTGGGGTTAGAGGGGCTGTCCCTAGGGTGGCGAGCGCTTCGCTGAAACCTGAAAGCAGGAGATGGAGATAGTGGGGGCTCTGACAAGGGAGAGAACAGCAGATGACACGGCAGGAAGAGGCTGTCTAACACAGTGAACCCTGAATGTGTAAGTGGGGTTACGCTCACTCGTGGCTCTCTGGACCTCTGTCCTCATGGACTAGAAGTGCACCCGATTTTCATATTAGCCCCAAGTCACCTTCCTTGAGGTGAATATGGTCAACTAGTAAACCCCAAGTGGAGGTGATTTTGGTAGGGTCCCTACTCTTCATGTGGTTCTCAGGACTTCAGACAGAGTTGTTACCCAAGGCTTTTTATGACTCAGAGACCCTAGCAGGAGGCTTGGCTACATCAGATGGGTCTTGGAGATGGTTCACAGGCCACACATGAATCCTGCCTTGCCTTTGCCTGGAAGGACAGGCAAGTGTGGCAGGAGTGGAGGTATTGGGAGAGGAAGTGTACACCTCATCTTTCCAGCAAGGAATGAGAAGGAGAAGGTCTAAGAATGAAGTAGGACTCTGGGGGATCCCCAGAGCTTGGGAGAGAGGGATGGGCACTGGGGAGGGACCTTGGGGGCTGTATGGGATGTGTGAGGGACAGGTACCTTGGCTCCATGCTTGCCCGGCATCCCTGGCATGCCCCGCTCTCCCTGGAGGAGGAAACAAGAGAAATCATGAGAAAAAGACCAGAGTCAGATCCGTGGCCTGTAAGGATGCCAGAGATAACTGCTGGCCTGCCTGGAAGCTTGGGTGGCCGCCCAGCAATCTATGAGCCCGGAGGACCCTGCTGTGGCCACAGCCATGTAGGCTACTCCTTTGATTACACGACATGAATTTGCAGGAGGACCCAAGTCACAGATGCAGAACTGGAAAGGTCCCAGAGAGAGGTCCACCCATTGGAATCTGAGTCCAGCCAGGGAGGTGACATGCTTAAGATCTATACTACTTGGTTGCCAGCCAGGCATGGAGCTTGTTGCTGAAGGGCAGAAGCATGGGCAGGAGCCACCTGCTAGCTGCTTACCTATTGCACACCTTCCTTCCCATCCGTGCTGTGGACTTTGTGCCCCATTTATACTCCAGTGAATTGGCTAGCATGGGATATACTGCTTGGACCAGACAGGGGTGCCCCTCTCTTCATCTGAGGATCATTTTCCTCCTGACCCCCCTGGTTCTAACTCTTCCAAAGGCCTGTGGACCTGGGCTGTGGGCTGCCCACTTCTCTGCACCCCTTCCTGACCTGCCTGCCCAAAAGCATCAGCGAGCTGTGGCATCTCTGGGACATCCAGGCTTTGCTCTAGCATCTCAGCACTGCCCCTCTTTACCTTTAACCTCTTTACTTCCCATGAAAATGCCGTATCTGGGAGGGGGTGAGTCCAGGAAGAAGGGCACACCACAAAGAGGTGGGGTTGGAGATGACAGCCAGTGACAAGAAGGGGGCCAAGAGTCAGGACTACAAACCAACATATCTGGGAGCAAGGAGAGCGGCTCCTGTCTCCGAGCTGAACCATGCATGAAGCCCCGGCATGAAGCTGCAGCAAGACCCAGGATATTGCTCAGTGACATGTGGCAGCTGCCAGTCTACTGCAGAGCCCTCTATCTGAAGGCCAGTGTTGTGGATGGGTAACATGGAGTACTGACAGACCTGAGTTAGGCTACACATGGTCCCAAGTGCTGTGGCCTGTAGGCCAGGCTGCAATTTCCACTTAAAGGCAGAGAGGCCCCTGGTCCTACCTGGTGCTCATCTCTTCAGGTGTCCACTCTCCCTACCATCTTATAGGAAGTCTTGGACCCATCCTTGTCCTGGCCAAGGCTAGAGTGGCTTTCTTCACACTGGCTCTTTCACACTGGCTTCCTGGCAAGCTTCCCCAAACACAGGCTGGATAACAGGACTTACTCCCTATTTTACAACCTCCACTGCCAGGTACTGACTGTAGAAAAAGAAGCAGGCATTCTGACACTTACCTCTCTGCCTCTCTATCTGACATCCTGGTGTACATCAACTATTACCTGTGTCCTTGAAAACAGTCCACTTTCACAACTTCATGGCTTTCTGTTATTTCTTCAACTTAAAGCCCTGTTTATCATTTAGAGTGTTGGTCCAATACCATCCTTCTGTGAGGCCCTTTGCTGTCCTTATGACCCAGTTCTGGGTCCTCAATGCAGCCAGGACCACTTTTCACTTCTACTCTGCATGCACAGGCTCACATCTGCCTGTGATAGACACATCACCTTCATCTTCCCAGGCCATTTCTGAATTCTATAGAAGGCCATGATCTTTAGCTCCAAATGTCATAGCCTTCCTCCACCCTGACCTACCAGTAACCCCTGAACCACTATGGGGTGGCAGAGCTGGACCAGGAAGTGGCCAAAACAGACAAGCAGGTGTCCAGTCTGCCCAAGTCTTTAAGTTTTCCTTCTTGTGGAAAAAGCAGAGAGGAACACGGACATCAATTGCCTCTGCTGTCCCACGTCTGGAGCTGGGCTTCCCAGCTTTCCTCTACTGGGTCTCCACGCATCCTCTCTACAGGGAAGTGGATGTCTTTCCTGTCTCTGAGGTTGCAAACATGGCTCAAAGAGGCCAGGGATGACTGCCAAGGGCGTGCAGAGCAGGGCTTTGAACACACATTTGTTGTCTGCTGCAGCCCAGGGGCTCATTTCTCTTGGCCACCCAACATCAGATGCACGAAAGTTCCATCTACCTCCATCAGACAGGCTCTGAAACTAGGTGGAGCCCCTCTCCACTGGTGCTTAGGTCTGTGACTAATAGTGGGGAAGGGTCTGCCTCGTGGCTCCAGAGAAAAGCCTGATTCAGACCTGTCAGCACCCACTCTTCTGCTCTGAGGCCAGCAGAGGGCGTGACAGGACCCCATCTGAACTCTGTCGTGGCCACACATCTCAAAGGTTCCTCTCCAGGAATGCCAGCTTAGGGTCCCTGTCATGCTTTCCTTTGGAGGACCAAATTGCCAGCTACCATTCTAACTGACCCCACCAGGCTGACTCAGTCTGGAGCCCCCTCAGACTGAGGTCACATTGGGAGTGGCCGACTGTTACAAGACCTCTAGTTTCTCCCTCTCTCCGCCTTCCTGTCTTTTCCTCAGCTCCCCCACCCTCTAAGGTCTCTGCCCCCCACTCCTGCCCCCACCCCCCGCCAACTGCCCTGTGGGGAGCTGGGCTGGGCATCTGTGTAATCATTTGTAAACCACTTTCCCTCTGGTCCAGGCTCCTCATTTTCACAGCAAGTTAGACCAGATACCTGTTCCTTCATCCTTCTTCACCCACCCAGCCCTGTCCTCATTACCGCTTGGCCTTAAGGACAGAGAAAGGACAAAGCTTGCGTGCGAGACAACACTTGGTGTCTTGGAAGCTCCAGAAGAAGGCTCCCTGGAGGAATGCATTTTAGCTTTGGTAAAAATGCAGGTCTTAAGAGGGGTCTCAGTAGGGCTCTGCTCTCCCCTCTGACTCCAGAGGGACAGCTTCGAGATGCTTCTGCAGGGGAAAAACCCCACAGCTGGAGGGTATGGCTAATGCTCATCTCTGAAGAAACTGTGCAGAGCAAAGCCCTGGGGAGTGAGGGCTTCCAGGCTAATTGGAATTGTCTTCAGTTATGGTGGTTTGAGTGTGTAAAGACACAACTGAGCACTCAGGGAAACAGGGCCCCTTGGAGCCTCCAAGGGAGGCAGGCCTCCTGTTACAGTGGCTGACCTCTGCTCCTTCCCTCCCTCTAGGTCAAGTCTTTTAATTCTGTAAAGACCCAGCCTCCCTTGATCCCTGTCTCAGAGCCTTCCTCCTTCCCACCCTTCAGCTGGGCAGGAAGCAGGGGCGCCTGGCTGAACCCGCCCTATAGCTCGCTCCATTCTCATTAGTCTTACTGCTTGGGGCTCCAGTCTGTGGGCTTGCCCTGCCTGACCTCTGGGGAACCAGGCTTGCCCTGCCTGACCTCTGGGGAACCAGGCTTCTCCTAGGCCAGGAAACATTGCTTCATGGGTGCTGGGTTAGGCAAAAAGGACTGGAGGCATCATCAATGATCCAGGGCCCTGTGGCAAGGGCACATTTGTAGGAGACGGGGGTAGGGGGGTGGGGTGTGGCCATTGCTGAAAGAGGACAGTGACACACTTCCATGCTTCCATTCCTGAAGTAGTACCTTGTGGCATGTCTGTGAAATCTACTGCCTCCTTCTTTCCTACTGCCCCTCATAAGTGTTCCTGTTCCAAAGGCATAGGTTAGGAATTGTGTTCAGTTTGTATTCATTGGCTCCATACTATGCTTATCTTTGGGGAGACTTGGATCTCACAGTTGATCCAAGTGTTATGAACCACAAAACTTTTTTACCTCTGGGGTCCCTTGTCTTTCTAGCAGAGACCCTGGGGGCTTCCTTACAGGCTCTCATCCATTGATCCAGACCATCCTGTGGCTGAGGAAGTGGGCACTCCAATGTTACAAAGGGTGTTGGCTCATTTCCATGGCAGCATTTAATGGCAGACATTGTGACCCTCAGGTGGCCTGGTGCTCCTGTGGGAGGCTGGCTCTTTGACCTCAGTGACAAGAAAACATGCACAGGAATGGATTGCAGGCATTGCTGCTAAGGAAGCTGGGGAAGCATAGGCGGGTAGCGAGGGGCTTGCCCTGAATGACCTTGAAGGCCTGTCCCAGGCCTGACTTAGGCATTGCCACTCAGGCTCCCCAGGGGTTCCTGCACCTGAGCATCCAATAGCATCAATAGGTCCTCTATTCTGCACAGCATCCAGGTGAGAAGACCCATCTTTTATAGAGATGACAGGTTGGAACCAGCTTCTCTTTGTGCTCTGGCCCTGTGGGAGTGGCCTCTTAATTGGTGATTTACTGTTTGTTGAACAAGCTGGGCAGGATCTTGGCAAAAAAGACAGTCTGGAGGGAGGTGGGGTGCTTCAGGGTCAGCTCCCCAGCCAAACAAAGGTCACGCTGGGGCTGGGGAGATGAATGGATCCCCCTAACTGAGGCCTGGGCTCCTGCTGCAGGCAGTCTGGGTGGGGAGGGCCATGGGCAGGAGGCCTTGCACACAGAGTCTTTGTTCTCTGCAGGGGAGGAGGAGGCCTGTCTGAGGGTGCAGTGCAGGGTGGGGGGGGCGGTTGGGGAGGCTAGCAGTCAGGGCATGCAAAAGTAAGCCTGGACCAGGGCCCTATTCTGAGCTGGAAAAGCTGGGGATTGGAGGTGGGGAGTACTCATGGCTTTCTCCCAGTCAACAGTTCCCAGGCCGCCCTTCCGGGAAAAAGGCCACTCAGTTCCTGCTTCCCTGCCCAGCCTTTCTCCAAATCATCGAGGACCGGAACCACGGAAATCCCAGGTCCTCCGGTAATTAGGGCAGGCAAGAAGTGATCCAGGGAATTACCGGGGTCGGGTGCCCTATTGAAGGCTGGGGCTTTGGAAGGCGGCTGGCCTGTAATCTCAATTTGAGAACGGTTGATTTGTAGTTAGTTCCAAAAGGAAAAGTCAGCTCTAATTAATCTGTGGACTTTCGAGTGCAGAAGAAACAGGACCCAGAGAGCCTGGGGTGGGGGCTGGAGTTCTGTCAGCCCCCATGAGGCCTCACATCTGGGGGCCCACGTCTCACTTTTCTGATCTGCTTTAATTTAAATGGTGTGTATGTCCTCACTGGGATTTCATGGCTTTGACAGCAAACACTGTCCACACACCGGCAGGCTCCCATCTGGATGGAGCCCTCTGCTGGGTGTGAACAATCCTGGAAGCCTGGGGTCACCCCAGAGGGTGAGGGGAGCTTTCAGGAAAGCTGTGGCCAAGGGTTGAGACCAGCTGCCTGCTGTGTTGGAAGTCAGAGACCTGTCCAGCTCCCTGGGGAATCATTCCCAGTCAGTGCCCGAGGGCAAAGCACTTCACTTCCCCAGTTCTTCTACTAACAAGGCCCAGAGTGCCCATATCTTGTTCTCTGTTATAGATCCAACCTCCAGCTGCTGCCTGTGGAGCGCCTGGGAGGCTCAGGCAAGGCCTGATCCCCAACATGACCTTTTTCTCACAAGGAGAACAACTCAGCTTCCACCTTGCTTTCTTTTGGAGCAGAAGAGGGAGGCCTACGGGAAACCATGTGGCTCCTTGGCCCTTATGGCACAGGTAGTGAAGTAATTCAGAGCAAGGCTTTGGGGTGGGCCAGAACCCACTTCATGACTTCCTAGCTGCGGACCGGGGGAGCCTCTGTGAGCCTCACTTTCCTTAGCTGTGATAAGAGTAAATCTTGCCTCCTAGGGCTGTTACAGGGAGCAGTAAAATGATGCTTGTGAAGTACCTGGTACTCAGCCCAGCCTGTAGAAGAGGCTCAGAAAGTAGTTATAACAACTACAGAATCGTGTCCCCTGTGTGCATGGGTCCTTGTTCTGACTAGAAGATCAGAACCATCAAGCCCTTGGGTAGAAAGATTGAAAGGGCCCATTGGGACTCCTCCCTAGGGTGTTTCTGTCTCTGGGGACTGTCTGTAAGGATAAGTGCAGTTACAAGTAGCTCTGACATGAGGTTCTGGCCTTCCTCTTCCCCTGGTCCCAAACCACACAGTCTGCATCCTGTGGATGGGAAGGTGCTCTTCAGCCATGGTCCTCCATGTTGACACAGGCTGTCAAATGCACCCAACTGTGAGACAAGTGCCAGCTCTAATGCACTTAGAGATAAAGTGCTGTCAGGTTGTGGGACCCACATCAGTCTGACCATACTCAATCCTCTTGAAAGAGAGCCAAGGTCATAATGTTTTAAACACATTTTGCATCTTGCAACATGAAGTAGATCCATGTCATAAATTTGGATCAAATGGGTACCACATGGGCACACCACAATATTTGCAGTATCTAGGTGGGAGGGCTGGTCCCGAGCGGGGGCTGCAAGAGGGTGCTGGCCACACTGGGCTTTGATCTCCAGGAGCTTGTAGAGAAGCCTGCCTGGTTGGCCTTTGAGATGATGCCAGGCTCCGTCCAGCTGTCAGTGGGGTCTGTGAACTGAACTCATCATTAGCAAACTTCACCCACTGCTTTAAGAGAGGCTCTCTGCAAGTGCATCAAGTCTCGGGGACCGAGCAAATGAAGCCCATGTGGAGGGTCCATCCACTACCCCACAGGGCAGCCACATGGCTCTGTCTCAGTTCAGTGTTCCCACCCTCTGGTGGCCACTCCTCTCCAGGATGGTGGGATGGAAGCAAACTCAGCTTTCCAACAGCTGTGCCCAAGCCCTTTCATGTTAGTGCTTTTTCCTTGCACCTTATTCCAGGCAGAGAGCAAAGAGGGAGGAGAGAGAGAGAGAAAAAAAAAACACTGATGGGCAAGGGAGGGAGGTTGGGGGATCAGACTTCCCATCCCAGAGAAAGCACAGGAGAGTGGTCTAGGACTGGATCATGAGACGGAGTTTACAATTCCAGGATGGGTGTTTACCATATGTGCAACCTTGGGTAAAGTATTAACCTCTCTGAGCGTCTCACCTGTCAAATGGGGGTGATAAGCTCTGACCAGTGGCCGTGGAGGACCAAATGAGACAGAGTGATTGAACTTTGGCTAAACTAAGATGTGAGGTATATGGCTGCACTTGTCTTTGGGCATCAAAGGCAAACAGTTGCTTCATCTTAGGATTAGGAGAGGAAGCAAACTTCTCTGTGGGCATGATCACTGAGGTCACTGTCCCAGTGGGGCTGGGGCAATGGTACAGGCTCTTGTAGTCTCCTGAGGAATGACTCCAGGTTCTGAGGGGTGGGTCCTCACTGCTCATCATTGGTCCTCAGTGCCTGGGGAGTTGGTGACAGGATAAGGGCTCCAGCAGAGTGAGGGTGGCACAGGTGTGGAGGTGCTGAGACCCTCTGTAGCCCAGTGGCTGTGAGATATGGTGGTGGTGAGGAGTGGATACTGTAGGAGGCTTCCAGAGATGCAGAGAGACAGTAGGGATGCTAGGGTCTCACCTCTTGCAGATGGCACAAGAAGAGCCATTGTGGAGGAGCAGAGCAGGGTGCAATGGGCAGAGAAAGAAGGCAGAGAAAGAAGGGAGGGAGGGAGGAGAGGCCAGCATGAAGGGAACAGGACTTTCCTCCCGAGCTGAGTAGGGATGCTCTGACAGCCTGGGACAAAGGTGCAAGAAGACAAGGTCTCCTCCCAATGCCAGACCATGCCTCTTGGGGATGTGCAGCCAGTTTGTTTCAGGAAGCCATGGCTTCTTGAGAGGGAAGGGATTTAAATCCAGTTTTAGATGGAGCTGGGATTGCTTTTTCTGGAGTGTCACCCATGGGCACTTGCTCCAGCCTTGATCATGGGAAAGCAGTGTGATCCTCTTCCATATTAGGTCATGGGATGCCCTGAACCAGCCTCCTTTTCTCCCCTTCTGTTGCTGCTCCTTGGTCAGCAGGGTCACATGGTTTTCCCATGCAATTCACTGCAGCCAAGATTAAAGGATTCTTGCTACCATATGCATCTAGGATTGACACCCTCACAGGCCCAGGCCCTCTAGCATCACGACACCCAGTTCTCAGCAGAGGCTGCTCCATCCACGCACAACAGCTCCTTTTTGGAGGAAAGACTTCTGGTTTGCAGCAAGTGCAGATATCTATCATGATACAATGCCAGCCAAGGGCACAGTCATGACCCCAGGGAACCCTCTGCAGCTTCTCAGCTTCAAAGAGCCGGTCTGGTGGCTAATGGCAAAACCAACCCTGCACTGAACCAGGAGGCAGTAAATTTCGTGAGTCTCTATGAGTGGATGGAGGCAACCTCGGGGGCTATAATTTCCACTTCCTGACACAACACAAACTTCTCAGTTTATGCAGAACTAATTAAAGATCGCTCAGGTCTCACCATTTCACACACTAAGCACCCATAAAACAACGCAATGATGGCAGTTGCCTGACTGCAGCATGCAAAGAATGTGCTATGCATGGAGCAAGCCTTCCCTTTCCAGGATTCCTCCCCCTTTCAGTCAGTGCCTTTCCTTCCTGCTGCCTTTCCCCTACTGGAAGGCTCTAGACTTCCCAGCTGGGGGCTGAAGGGCAAGGATGGACTTCTCGCAGCAGGTGGTACTGTGGGAAGGACCCAGGCCTGATTTGAATCCCTGCTCTACTTTTGCTAGCCTTGGTTTCCTCGATTACTAAGTAGTTGCAAGTCCTAACAGCCTCAGGTTGGTTTAGGATTAAAGATAATGCAGGTCATATGTAGCAATAGCAGGAGCTCAGTAAGTAGTGTGGCTATGATCAGATTATTATGCTGTTAGAATTACTGCAACGACTGCACCCAAGCCTTTGCTCAAATGGCTTCCCTGTCTACAACACTATTTCCCTTCACGTTTCCTGGTGAAGGACCACAGTGGTGGAGTAACATGGCCACACATGTTTTTCTATTCCTCTGATCAAGAAGCAGAGAGCAGGTGTCTTCCCACCTGGTGCCCGTGACTTGGTCATGTGCCTCGCTTTGACCAACAGAGCATTAGAAAATGTGATGCAGGCAGATGCTGAGGAGATGCTTACTTTCTGGGACCTGCCTTTTCTAAAGGAGGCCCTGGGCTTGCCATGCTGTGAGGAAGCCTGTCTAGCCAGCTGGAAGCTGAGAAGTGCTTGGAGGAGAACAGAGGTCCTAAGCTCCAGTCAGCACTACCTACCAGACAGGTGAATGAAGTCTGCTTGACCCTCCTGCCCTCCCAGTTATCATCTGATAAGCAACTGCACAGGTGAATGCAGGTGAGAACAGCAGGACCCCCAGGCCACCAATCACAAAATCATAATAAATAATCGTGCTAAGCCAGTAAGTCTGGGATGGTTTGTTACACAGCATGAGATAGCTGATACAGGGTTGAGCGCTTGGCTATCTTCTCCCAGGAGACTTCCCCAACTCCTCCCACTTCCAGTCCCTCTCTTCACCATGTCCTGACAGGATGCTTTGCAGTGGTAGCATTTGACACAGTCTGCTTTGCCCTTCTGGCCTGGGAGCTGCCAGAAAGTAGGACTGGGTCATTCCATGTCCCTGAGCAAACTCAGCATGGAGCTACACTTTTACGAGGGCGGGGGGTGGGGGGGAAAGGGGTGATAAGTAATCTGGCTTCCATATGACAGACCCTCAGGAACCAGTGAGAACCTGACTTCCTTAGTCTAGACACCGCCACCCAGGTCAGCAAGAGGGACTCTCCTGGTCTGAAGTCCAGCTGGACCACTGACCTGCCTAAAGCCCTGCTCCTCTGTCCCCTCGTTCCCCAAGTGGGGACACTAAGCCCTGTTCAGCAACCTCACAGGTGTTGTGAGGCTCATGCTGGGTGGTGCGTGTGCAAACAGGCATTGTGATGACCCAGTCTTGGTCCTGTGTGCACTGTGGTGAGGCCCCACTTGGGGTCTCCACAAGAGAGGCTAGGTTCTCCCCTCCTCCCCCTTCTTACCTTGCGGCCATGGTACCCCTGGATGCCTGGGTCTCCCTGGGGGAAGAAAGAGAAGGACATTCAAGCAGTTTTCCAATGCTAAACTGGCTGGCACTCTTCCCCACACAAAGCTGTCCCCTTCCTCCCAACAACTCTAGATCCTCCTACACCTTTAACTCCTCCTCCAGACACTCCTGTGACAACAGCTCTTGGCTCCTCTGAGGCTAGCAGACTGTTCTGCTGGTCAGCACAAACCTGCTGTGCAGAGCTGAGAGGCCAGCTTGGTCGAGACTCAGGACACACGGGTTCTATCAACATCACTGATGAACCTGGACCAGCTACCTTTTCCCAGGACTCTGTTTCTATATTTATAAAATGGTAGGGCAGGATGAGTGGTTTGAACTTTCTGGTCAAAGTGAGAATTTTTTTTTTGTCATTGTGAGCTTCTGGGAAAGGTTTCACAAGAGACTAGATGGTCTTGGAGGTCTCTTCTAGTTCTGACACCTTATGGAACACCATTGTTTTGGGACATTGTGACAGTCCCAATACATGGGCAACTGCTTTGAGAACATAAGCTCCATGGCGGGAAAACATAGCTCCTATACTGGCTGTAGTGCTTGCTGGGTTGGCCTGAGCACACAAGGAGGACATTGTGAGTTGGAATCCTAAGCTCCTAAGAGGAGGGTAGAGTTTGTAAATGGGCTACGCTTGAGCCGTCACTCAGCTGTGATGGCTTTCAGCTCCTTCCTGAGTGGCCTTCAGTGCCACTTGCTTCCTGCCTGTAGGGAGCGCTCCCCTGCCATTCAATGCTTCACCAGAAGGGCTCTTACTTTTGGTCCAGGAGGCCCAGGTAAGCCCTGTGGAAGCAAGAAGAAGATGAGTAAAGATGGCTTCCATGGTAAATGGTTGAGGTTAGCCATGCTTGCAGTGGAGGCTGGCGCAGCCTGGCCCCCACATGGCTATAACAAGAGAATGGGCTCAAGAATGCTCTTGTGTATCCTGAGGTGCATCTGAAACCTGGGGAAGGCACATGGGGACAACAGGCTCATGTCCCTCTTTGGAGCCATGTGGGCACCGTGGGCAACTCTGCTGTGCTTGTCCACTGGAAAGTAGGTCAGTTAAATTGCTAAATTGACATTGTGGCTTGGTCAAGACCTCACTCACCCACCTCCTAACTGGAACCCCTCCCTGGAAAGCTGACCTTGCCAAACAAAGCCTTAATTTTGCCATTGGCCCCTGCCTGCCTGTGGAGAAGGCTGCTGCCTCTCTCTGTCCAGGACACTGTGACCATGGTAGCTGGCCACAGTGAAGCTGTGTGGGTCCTGGAGCTTGTGGGAGCCCAAGAGAGAGGCCAGGGGTGGCTGGCTCCCTGCAGTTGCAGGCAGAGGTCTGGATGACAAACACCGGCTGGGGAAAACTATGATGCCTAGGTCTGGGCTGTTTCAATAGGTTTAGAAAACATGCCTTCTGGGTTTTTTTCTTTATAAACAACCTACCAAAGAAAACCACCTGGCTTGGGTTCAGTGAGTGAGAGTGGGAGGGTAGTGGTCAGCAAAGAAGTAAATTTTGAGCACTTTTTGGTTTTCTTGGCTTGGTTTGATTCAATTTTCTAAATTCACTTCTCTTAAGGTTTTTTGTTTTCCCATCTAAAGATTAAAGTGGAACTAATGTCCCCCTCTGGAGTCCTGGGGAGGAATTATGGAAATAGTTAGAATCTGTTTTAGGGGGTCAGGTTGCACAGAGGAACCAGCAACCAGCAACTCAGGTTTTCACACTACAGTGCTGGCCTTCCCACCCAAGTTGGAGGCCCCAGAGGTCAAAGCAAACCATCTTTGCCTATCTGATTGCCTGTAGTGTTAGTTTTCCCCTGGGTGGAGGACCCAGTTCTCTGAAGAAGTCCAGCTACCCACTAGGCATGTCTCCTGCCTGTTCTCTATTGTACTAAGGGGCTGAGGTGGTGTAAACACTGGGTCAGGGCTTAAAAATGGTGAGTTGGTGGCCACTGGTTTGACCTGTCACCTGTAGGGAGACCAACAGGCTCCCTCCCAGCAGTGGCCCTGCCAATCCGCAGGCTCCATGCAGGGTCTGGTGACAGGCATCCAACTTAGCTAGAAGGTGGCCCACCCAGCAGTGCAAAACCTGCAGCACACCCACCCAAGCCTTGAAAGTCATGTTTGTTGGGGTGAAGGGGGAGCGGCTGATGGTGTACTCCTGGTGCCTTTTCAGAACCCCTGCCTTGGACTCAGGTTTGCCTAAGCCCATGGGTCAGGGACAGCTGTCATAGGTGGCCCTGGGGATTTCTCCAAGCTCCTTTCTGCTGGGGCTGGGAAATGGACAGCCTATTTGTGCTGCCTCCCTGGAAGCAATGAGTGGACAGGGCCCACAGGCAAGCTTGCAGAGCTGGAGGGTAACAGCTGAGTTACCCTCCTAGGTAAACCAGGGATGGAGCTGTCCATCCTTGCAGTGGCTAGCTATGTCCAAGGCTAGCTATATCCTAGCTCCTTGCAGTGGCTAGCTATGTCCAAGGCCTTGTCAAAGTGTTTCTTCCACTTGGTTCCAACAGGAACTCTGGCTCCTATTGGCTATTCATGCACAGATTGGAGGCTTCCAGAGAACTCTTGGGATGAATCTTGGAGAGGAAGAGGGGATACTTACAGGCGGCCCCATGGGTCCTGGCAGTCCTGGGTGCCCCAGAGGTCCACTTGGTCCAGGGGGACCTGGTGGTCCTGGTGGGCCTTGGATGCCAGTCTGGCCCTGCTCACCCTGACGTTGGTAGAAACAAGTGTTAGGGAGAAGACCCCAGAGCTGCAGACCAGTTTTCCCCCAGTACCATGCATCTGTGAGGCCCACGTGGGCTCTGTGGAAGGCTGCGGTGATGGTGGGTGGCAGTGTGGGTGATGATGCTGTGTGGTGATTGCATGCGGGGGCTGGTGACAGCAAGAAGAGGGCCAAGACATCAGATCCCAAAGCAGTGGGGCTTTTCAGAGAAGACTTGCTGCACAGAGCAGCCTGTCTCTGGGGAAGAGGGCAGCAGTGGGCGGCAGAGGCAGGGGAAGTGAGTGAGAGGCAACCCCCACCTGACCAAAACCTGCTTCCTGCCCAGCCAGAGTCCAGCCCAGGTGATCTGCAGCCTGGGGCGGCCTCTGTCATCCTCTCAGTGTTGCAAATCACATCATCTCTCTAAGTCCTGGCCTCCCAGCCACAGAAGGGAACGGAGGTTCCTTGTTTTCTGTCTTAGCTTTTTGCTCTTTGCTTATCTGGTCTCAAGGGTCAAATGAGAGCCTAAGGTCAGAGGCCATGGAGTTTGTTTGGCTAACTATTTAATGGAGTAGGACTTGCCATCCAACTTTGTGCACTTTGGAAATGACCTCCAACACCACCTGTTAAGCACCTCAAATCTTATAAATGTTCTCTTTGAACTAATCTTAAGTCATCTTGCCAAGTCTATAAAACCAATATTGGTTATTGATAGGAAATGGCCAACAGATCAAATCCTTACTCCGCAGGAGGATTTGCAACAAGCTGAACATGGGCTCCTGCTCTTCTCTACCTTGGAAACCAGGTTGTCGCAGAACAAAAACTGCCGGCTTAACCACCTGGACTCTATCAAGGTCTTCTTTTCGAAAAGTGTCAATTAAGTGCAGCATCTCCACCATCAGGTGGCTGGCATGCAGATTACATGAGCTAATCCATGAGAGTCCTCACAACGGGGCCTAGGACCCAGCAAGGGCTGGGCAGAAAGAGCCATACGGTGGCTTGTGTCAGGAGACTGGGGGCCATCCAGGAAGATGGTTTCTCTGAGTCATCTTCTCAGCTCTCCCCAGTGGGGGTCCAGCACCGGCAGGTATGGGTGGCAGTAGGGTGGACTAGTCTGCTTTGAGCTGCCAGCTGGCCTCCTGAACAGCCCTGCTTGGGGTAAGCACAGAGGCTCTCGAGGATTTGGCTGGGATAATGTGATATGCACTCTGAAGGCTTGGGTAGCACATGTCCTTCTGTATTTTTAGCTGTTCGTTGGAGTGATTTGTCAGCCTTATTCGATCAGGTGCCTAAGTATCCAGGCCCCTGGGTTTCTGACTCCAGACACAGGCTGTCAGAGAGCATCTCAGAGCCCTGCTACCTAGCTCCCTGTGCTTTGGGGCACTCCTGTGCAGGAGGTGAGGGGCAAGGCAGACAGCTTGGCTTGGAATAGAGCTGTGACCTCTTGGAGAGTAGGGCAAGATTGTTTTGTTTTCTGTGATCTGCTCCTATCCCAGCCTTCTTGAGTTAGTAAGGCAAGAAGAAGCAGCTGCTCACAGTGACTGCACCTGTTGGTTATGGGTTATATTCCTTTACAAATGCCCTTGGTCCTCAAACTCAGTTTGTAAGCAGTCTTCATTCTTTTTTTTTTTTTTTTTGTCTTTTTGAGGTACTGGAAATAGAACCCAAGGCCTGTGCCTGCCAGGCAAGTGTTCTACCACTGAGCTGGATCCCCAGCAGCAACCTACATTTCTAAGCATAAAGGATGTAGGTCCCACTGAGACAGCCCTAGATGTGGGGGCTGAAGATCTGGCTGCCAGCTCCAATGTTTCCTCTATTTGTAAGACTTTGGGCAAGTCAATTCACTTCTCTGAACCTCAATTTTCTCTTCTCCCAAATATGGAGAAGAGTAAAAATGATGGCTAACATTACAGCACTTCAACTGTGCCCGGAACCATCACAAATACTTTGCATAACAGACCCGTGACACAGATACTGTTATTACCTTTATTTTACATTGGAGGAAGCCAAGGCACAGAAAGATCAACTAATGTGCCTAAAACCCCACAACTCGTGAGCACACACAGAGCCCCACCCTCACGTGCTCGGGCCAGGGGATGTGCAATGTCAGGCTCTGTCCAGGAAGCCTATGAGCAGAGAGGGGCTGGAGACCTTCCCGAACCTACGAACCTTCAGGGTAATTATCTGGTTGGAGCGCAGAGCTGCTAGCGTGCTGCTCAGGTACTCTTGGTTTGGGTAGGGGGAAATGAAGGTGGCAGAGACAAGGTGACAGAGTGAGTGGGAATAGTTCACAGGCAGAGAGTCGGTGCAAATCCCTGCTTTGCAATTTATGGGCTGTGTAACTTTGGACAACTTAGCCTCTCTGAACCTTGATTTCCTCATCTGTGAAATAAAGATGATCATGCTCAATTCATAAAACTATTGAGAGAATTAAAATCAGGCCTGAAAAATGGATGACATGATGCTTGCCTACAATGACAGCTGTTGTTGGTGGCTGTGATGGTGTCATGGTGTGGTAGAAGTCGTGAATTTCCTGGGCCTGTGTGCTGTGTGTTTCTATGTCTATGGTATCCATGGCTATGTTTGCCTCATTTCATTTCACTATATTGGAGGGAGGAAATTCTGGCTTCATTGACAACCCCAGCAGGTCCACAGACTTGCCAAGCCCCTGGGGAAGCAGCAGGTGGTTTGGCAAAGGAAGGTGTCTACCTGGAAGGTCCGCCTTTTAATGACTGGGGGTGGAGCCAGCCGCACTGAATTGAGGAGAGGCAGCAGCTGAGGAGGAAGATGAGTTGAAAGGCCAGAAGGCAAAGGCCAGAGATCGCAGGTATTCAGAACGATGACAAAAGTTGCCAGGAAGGCGGAGCAGCCAAGATGGTAGGGAGTAGAGGAAGAGAGAAAAGAGATTAGTGTGAGCATGGGCCAGAAGGGAAGATGTGGACAGGGCATTCTTGTGGCTAGTGGGAAGCAGCATTGAGCTTGTCATTGGGTGGCACAGCCATCCCTCCCTCAGTCTGCACCCTGCTCGGCCTCCAGCTTGGAACTGGGTACCTGGCCCTCAGGTCCCTACTCCGCCAGGCCTGCCTTTGTGGCCATGCTGGGCTGCCGAGGTCACCTGACACGCAGCCTCACATTGCACTGCTGGCCCCACCCATCCCTGCCCGGCAGAAGACTCTGCCACTTTTGGGGGGGATGGACAACCTGCAATCATACTGTCCAATGTTGATTTTCATTTCTGAGTATCTCTCCCACACTGAAGCCAGTGACCATTACTGGGCTGGAGCTTGCAGACCCAAGGAGCCACAGGACCAACTAAATTGATACTTGGAGCCAGGCTGCTGTGCAGTCCCCTCTGGGTTCTTTTTTGTCAAGATGAGAAAGGCTGATGTCAGCGGATCTGAGGAGGATGGTCAAGGCCTGGCTCTCAGGCTGAGCCCACTGAGGGTGTGGCCCATGTGGCACGTGCTATGTGCTACTGAGGTCTCAGTCTGGAGCTGGAATGTTCAGAAAATAGAAGCTGGGAAAGATGTCTCTGGAATGGTCAACCACTTTTGGGGGGGATAGGCAACCTGCAATCAAATTATCCAATGTGATTTTCAGTTCTGAAAATCCTTGGTGGCTTCTAGTTCCTCTTTCCCGCTGAAGCTAGTGACCATTGCTTTAGGAATGGGTTAGAACCCACATGAAAATGAAGGTGGCACAGAATCAGCCTCTTGTTTTCAAAGGCCCTTGAGCTCACACCAGGTCCCTGGGATGAACATTAAAAACCAGAAGCCTCCTGGCTAAGACTATGCCCTGCTAGAGAATTGGGATAGGACCTTAGTTCTCCCGGGTCATTGCTGCTGCCCATGTAGGCACACGCAGAACCCCACCCTCATGAGCTGGGGCCAGGGGATGTGCAATGTCAGGCTCTGTGTCCAGGAAGCCTCTGAGCAGAAAGAGGCTGGAGATCTTCCCGAACCTACAAACCTTCAGGGTAATTATCTGGTTGGAGCGCAGAGCTGCTAGCGTGCTGCTCAGGTATTCCTGGTTTGGGTAGGGGGAAATGAAGGTGGCAGAGACAAGGTGACAGGGACAGTGAGGGGGAATAGCTCACAGACCAGCACCAGTTTCCCTGCCTGTGCCACGGGACCCCATCTTGCCCATTCCTCACCTCTCTCCTCTCCTGCTGGACAAGAGAGAAGGACCAGCCTGGAGACCAGCCATACCTGCAGATCCCTTGGATCTGCAGCAGGCCTCTAGATGCCCCAATGCCTTCCTACCCTCTTCTCAGTAAACAGCCCTGCCCATCAGATGGGTGCCTGAATCTACTCCCAGACTGCTGCAGTCCTAAGGCTGTGCTTCTGTCACTGCCCCTTTCCTTCTTCCTGTGTTGGGCCAAGGGGCAGATAGCCCATCCTCCCTGAGCATTCCACCAGGCCAGGCAACACACTGCCAAAGTGTTGAACTCGTGGTGTTGCATACTGCTAAGGGATGTTGTCTTTCTCTCAGGTAACATAACAATCCTGCGAGCCCATCATTTCAAATAAACACAGATGACCTTCTGTTATTTTATCAGGATCAGCCTGGCTAGAACACCAAGGCTCCTGCATCCTTGTATCCCATGCCACACATGGGCCAGCTCATGGGTGGCCTCTCATTCCAGTTCTATCCTGGCTTGGGCCTCAAACCTATCCCTACTCAACACTCCAGGCCCATTATGGCCTCTCTCTGGCCCAGGATCCCAGAAGTCAGAGGCTGGCATGCCTTCCTACTTCCTGAGAGGCTGGGCAGAGGTCAGCCCTGTTAGCCACGTCCTCCTGGGGCCCTCTACGGTCAGGTTTTCTCTGAGCCTAGTTTGTGCCTGGCTCTCCCACTAAGCCCCACTCCCAGGACTTGCTTGGCAGCAGTGGGTAGCCAGGAAAACTGCACATGTGTTACTGGGCACAATGGGTCCCCTGACGGCTAAGATGGCCACTTAGGAGGCCTATGCTGTCTATTGATCCCGGCACGGATGCAGTCACGCCTCCTTTGGGTTTGGGTCATTTGAAGCAATGACTAACTCCAAAATCCCTCTTATTCAGTCAGGGCAGATACCCAGACATGCAGACACAACCACAACCACAACCACAATCACACACACACACACACACATGCACACGCACATGCACACGTACTTGCCACATTGGTAGGGTAGGTAGTCGACACATAGAGACACACAAGCCCTGGGGCCATCAGAGAGGTCAAGGTACAAGTGGCCAGAGCCGCAGACATACACATTCAAGAGACTTCCAGGCACCTCAGTCAGTAGACAGATGAGCACAGGGACAGAGCCATGGGAAACTGGCTCCACAAGAAGGCATACATGGATCCAAAGGCACCCTGCACCCAGCCAGGCACACAGCATCCCACACTGCCTTTCCTGCAACTGAGAGCAGTGGGCGGTAGGCTGTGGTCTTCTAGCTCTGTTAGGTACAGTGACCCTGGGAAGATGAGACTAGGCTGGGCTATGCCTCTGAGATGGATCAAAGAGCCCCCTTCAGTTTAAAGCATCACTTACCCGATGTGGGTACTCGCCACACTGACCCTGTGGAGGGGAGGAAAGAGGAGAGTTATTAAGCACTTTTGGGGGAGACTTGTCCCTGAGGGGCACCCCCAAGACTTACAGATGCATCACACCATCTCATTATCCACCAGCCCTGCCACTCTGGTCCAAATGTGAGCCCTCTGAGGCAGGAAAACTAGTTCGTTCCCTTGTCATTGCTGGGCAGCAGGGCTTGCCTGGAAATGGCTCCGTGGGCATAGGAGAGAGCCTTTGCCGCACCCCACCTGCCATGACAGTAGAGTCGGGAGTCATGCTTCAGGCCTGGCTGAAATCAGCCCTTCAGGTAGGCACCTGAAAGACCTGGACAGAGGCCCTGGATGTGGGCAGGTTATGGATACTCCAGGGACACCTTCTCTGAGCTAAGACTGCCAGGTCCCGCACCACTGCCCAGAGGCAGGTCTGCTAGTCTTGGTCAGAAATTCAAAGACATGGAAGGAGCCCAGAATGAGGCTGGACAGGGCCAGGTCTAGGCAGGAAACAATGTCACCCAGGAATGCTTCACTGTGTCTCTTTGATATACTGTGGTGCCTCAGGGCTTTCCTGGTTCTGTCGATAAAAACTCAAGTTTGAAAGTAGCCACTCTGCCCTTCCTGCCTTTGGAAGGTTGTGCCTGCAATGAGATTCTAAGAAGCCCCATTGTACTGACCTTTTCTCCTTTTTGTCCTTGCGGTCCCTACAAAGAAATGGAAAGGAGACAGTTAGGGACTAAGGCTCAGGACACAGGGGCCCCAACTCCCTCTGTGACAAATATGAAGAGGAGGTACCAACCGGCTGTCCTCGGGAACCTGGCAGGCCCTGAGGGAGAAACACACACAGGTCAGTGATGGACAGAAGATAAGTAGATCAGAGACATACACGACAGCGAGTGTGACAGATGCAGGGCTTCCAGGTGCTTCTCAGAATGTTCCCGATTCCTGAAGACTGGGATCTGCCAGCCATGGCCAGATCTCCCCGTGCCTGACATGTGCAGTGTTGCTGTGGCCTTAGACAACAAGCCTCAGCTCCTTCGCCATCAATAGGCAAGGCTAGGTGTGCTCTGTCTCCACAGGTGCCACCCTTCATTCATTCCTCCAACCACTGTCACCTCACAGGCCTGCTATATAGAAGGCTGCACTTGGATGTCAGGTGGCATTCTGCTCTGAGGGACCCTGCCTTCTGTACCCTGTGAGCCGCAGGAGACATCTGCACAGTCCATCAAGGGAAATCCTTTGAGCCAAGGGGCTTCAGGGAATATGTCGGTGGGAAGCCGCTGCTGTGGACAGGGAATATTAGAGAGGCTGAAAGTGGAGTCCCCTAAGTCATGTTTCAAGTTCCGGGGAGGGCACAGGGTTTTGGTGTTTCCTTTGAGTTTGTCTTAATGGGGTCAGGTCTGACTCTTGTTCTCTGAGGAGGACCCAGCATCTGGCTGGCTCTGGGGAGCCTGCCCTGAGGCTGAGGTCCAGGAGGCCAAGTGACCAGTGTGAAAGGGAGACAAAGGCATCAGTGGAACGTCCCCTCTGAGCAGGCTCTGCAGATGTGCGCAGAGCTCCCCTTCACATGTCAGAGAGGAAGGGCTGGCATTAGCTCATCTCCCAGACAACGGGACAGAGACAAGGCTTAATGAACGGTAGTGCTGAGATGTGAGCCCAGGTGTGTCTGACCATGGAAGTTCAGCTGTTTCCAGTCCACTACCCTCTATACTAGGCTGGACCTCAGGAGGCAGTGCTCTAGACTTGGCTGGAACCACAAGCAGTGCCCCTGCCTGGGTCCCTGGGGTTTCTTCCAGCCACATCCTGTGCCTGGGGCCCTGAGTTTTGGGTCATTTGGGTCAAGATGCCAAGAGGTGGGAGATGAGCCTTTCTCCTGTTTCTGACTTGGACCAATCTCCAAACTGGGAAACTCCCAGAAGGCTCACTGGGAGGGAGGAGAGGCTTTTGGGAAAATCCACAGGGTGATCCCAGACCACCAGGCTGACAAAGTGCTCAGTATTACCAAGTTCAGCAGCACTGGATTCATCTGGTAGGATAAGGGGCAGATGACAGCCTCTCTCAGGACAGGGAAGAGTGTCATGAGATGGGGAGGGGGGAGGAGGTGAGAATAACTCTCTGGTTTAGGACAGAAGAGACTTGGAAGATTGAATCCAGATGTCCTAAACAGTGGCAATTAAAAATCAGAACCCAGGCTTCTCTTACTATGTTGAAGCCCAACAACACTTAGCTCTGGCTGGGTAGCCATGACTGTGGGTGCTGTGCTTGGCACTGGGCCACCAGCAGGTCACTAGCACCCACCTCCGGAACAGAACTGAGGCGTGTGCACTATATATACAGCAGACACACCCTCAGTGCTGGCGTGGATTCACATCTTTACCCTATGATGGCCCTGTGGACGGTGGTGAGGAGACATTTGAATTCAGAGCCTGGGCTCCACTGACAGCCTTGCTCCTCCAGAGTCTGACCTCAATCTTGTTCACATCCCCTTGTACGACTGTACAATTGCATTCTCTCAATACCTCACGCCAGGCTCTTTGGGCTTTGGTATTTTGACCAGCAGAGATGACCCCCATTTAACAGGAGAGGACACAGTTTAAGCAAGTGAAGGAGAACCCCAGGACCAGTGTGGGATGCCCAGCAGAGGGGAGCCACCTGGGCAGGGAGCAAGCATGAGAGGGACAGATGACAAGCAGGCTGAGATCATCAGGAGAGATAGCAGGGGTGAGGTGATAGCTCTGGGTCCTTGTGGCAAGCCAAACAGGAGTCTAAAGGCTCTATGGCTTGTGGAATGTTGATAGATGATGACACTGATGATAGCGGATCCATCACACTGATATGGGCTCATGGGAGATGGGACTTGCCCTGTCCCCTGAGTTGGCTTGGGCCCTGGACAGGAGGTCAGGTAAAGCAGAGTGCATGGCAGAGTGAGGGTGGAAAGGCGCACCCATAGAAGGGTCCTTGCCTTCATGACAAAGGGTGCTCAGAGAGGAGGTGCTGTCAAGGGTAGACCCTGCAAGTGGATCTGAAGCTCAGTTCTGGTATTTGGAAGCTGTATGGCCTATGTACCTAAGCCACTCTACATCTCAATTTCCCCTCTTGTCAAATACAGATAAGCTGTTCTGAGAATTATAGAATGGTGGATGACTATTATACTCCCTTCCATGCCAAGGGCCACCTTATGGTAGAATCGAGCCACCAGCTGCCAGGAAGGGGAAGAGGTGGGGAAAGGGGCTGAAGGGATCCAAAGGCCCAGACAACCAAACCCCTTCTGCGTCTGTAACAATGGATGCATGGAAGTGCCTTACCGCCTCAGCCTCTGTTACTTCACGCATGTGCACTGGAAGCTTGGGGACAGGTTGGGCAGGAAGGGAGGCATCTGCAGGGGAGGTAGTCAGAATGCAGCAAAGCTTGCTGGAGGGCTTGACTTCCAACGCTTGCTCTCCTGTCTACTGCTTTCGGTGCCTCGCTGCATTTCCTTCTATTATGTGGACATGTCAGGACTTCCCTGCCTCAGGACCTATGCTGTTCTCCCGTGTCCAGAATGCCTCTCTATGTCTCCCTTCCTATTTCTAAATCCTCACCCTTCCACAGTCTCCTTGTCAGGAAAACCTCCTCCGACCCTTAACTGAGTAAGATTTCTTGACACCAGGGATCACTTTTTTATGGCACTCCCCAACTAGGCTGTGAGCAACAGGATGAAAAGAACAGTGTCCCCCTGGCTCCTGTCTGTGTCTTTAGCACCTGACGCAGTGCCAACGCACAAGAACACTCAATAAAAATGTGTTAAAGGAAGCAAGGAGGCAGGAAGGCAGGGGAGGTGAGGGGGAAATTAAAAGGGAGCAAAGATAATCAGGTTTAATGCTTACTAGCTGTGTGACTTCAGGGAAGTTACTTTGACTCTCTGAGCCTCAGTTTCCACAGATGTCAAAGGGGATCTTGACAGGGCCTGGAGCACAAGTCCTGTATTATCTCATTTCATCCTCAACTTAATCCAATGAGGATTAAAGGAGATAATACAGTCATGTACCGCATGTGACAGTGGTTGCATTGATTATATTCCATAGTGATGCCATGGCCATTTAGCTTGTGTAAGTGTACTCCACAATGTTCTTGTAATGATGAAGCCACCCAGTGTACCTGTATCTCTTCCATTAAGCCACGAGTGACTGTACATGTAAGGTACTCAGCCTGGTGCCCACCCCAGCAGATGCAAACACCGAATCACAGTCCAGAGGCCAGGAGGCCCAGAGATGGCTGGGTTGCTAAAGAACCGAGGGCATGTTAGGGAGAGCTGGCCTGAAACACAGTTTCCTCCATCATCTTCCATTTGTAAGGCTCTCTGCTTCTCTCGGGACCCTGGCAGCACCCTGGTCATGATCAAGGGTGTCGTTACACCAGCATGTGGAGCAAGGCAAGAGCCAGGCCCCAACTGGTCTGGGACAGAGGAGTCTGCCATCTCACTATCACCTCCTGGCACAACTTGGTCCTGCCGTCAGTCTGTAGGACAAGAGGCAGAACCTGGGAGACACAGGACGCATCTTGGCCTAGCGTATCCTATTTGCTCTTGTTGACCCATCAGTCCTTGTTGAGAACTGGCCCCTCACAGGCAGTGGACAGCCGGATCCCTTTCTTTTCCAAAGGGGTGGCCTGCAGATGGAGCACATTCCTGCCAAATGCTCTGCACAGGGTGGAAGGAGCAGCATAGAATGCTTTCCTTCTCAGAGCCCCTGGGACTCTGGGGCGGCTCAGGGCAGAGCAGGCACCAGAAAGGGGAGCCAGGCTAGGTGCAAATGACCTGCCATATCCTAGAGGAACCATCCTCTTTTAGACTTTGATGTCTGCCGTCTCCCCAGGCCCAAGAGTGCAGTCTGAGAGCTCTGAGCTAGCCACCAACTAAGCGTGGAACCAGCCAAGTGAGTCACTCTGGACCTCATCCTTATGTGTCACATGGAGGAGTCCTCCCTGTAGACTGTAGGGATCCAGGGCCTATGGCTATGTACAGTTGGAGTGACTATGATCTCCCCCTCCCCCACACCCATCTTGGTAAGGCAGGAAAGCAGGGCTCTTACCATCTCTCCTTTTGGTCCAGGGTAGCCCTGGAAGGAGAAGGGGGTGAGTTTAAGGTCCACTGTTTGCGAGGTGAAGCCCCCCACTCTACCTGCCCCATGTGGTCCCTCTCCCTCACCATGTTGGTTCCTTCTTTTCTCACAAGGTCACTCCATCACTCACTTATCCATCTAGTCTCTAACCCCCTGGGTGACTCTGCAGATCATTCTTACCTTACCCTTTCCTGGGCCTTACTAGCAGTTGCCTGCCTGGCAGAGGACAGTAAAGGTGGGAGTGGTCTCCCTGAACCCCGTTCCCACCACATTCACACACCCATGATGACTTTGACGAATGCCTGGTCCTCTGAGATAAAGGGAAATGACCACCACAGTTCCCCGGGTTGCACATAGCTCCCTGGTTTACAGGTCAGGTGTTCAGGTCCCCACCTGAGTAGACGCCAGCTGCTACAGGGAGAGACGAATGTGAGTGTGAGGGGTGGGGGGTGGGGGGTATTATGTCCCCCAGTAGCTATACTTGTGGTGGGGCCAAGGCTTTGGAAGGTCAGCTCTCCTCTAGCTTACCCCTCCTAGGAGAGGGGTGGGCTTCCTTTCCCCAAGGACATCTGTGTCAAGGGACAAAGACCAAAAGTCCCGTAGAGAAGAGCCATGGGGGATGGACTGAGTGTGCATTGTGGTGCCTCAGCTAGGGAAGGTGACCCCAACCCAGAGAGAGCAGGAGACACAGGAGGCACCTTAGCAATGCTGGGGGACAGGGCCAGGGTGTGACAAGTGGCAGGCTCTTCTCCATTTAGCCTGCTGAACTCTGCCTCCACCAGCCACCCTCCCTGCTGCCTGCTTGCTTTACTCCATCCTCAAGTTCCTTTCAGGATGCACCCAGAGTCACCAAACTCTGGTTCTTGCTCCAGATGCTGGCATCCTGGGGAGGCTCACGAGGGTCAGAAGTAACTCATTCAAACAGCCTCTCCTCCCCTTCCCACTAGTGACACCTTTTTGGCCAGCAATTTTCTTTCTATCAAAAGCATCTTCCAAGGAGTCAGGATCTTGCTAGAGGACCAGGAGACCCAGGGTTAATGGGAACCCACTTACTGGGAGGAGCCCCTGACTGGGAGGGCCCACTTACCGGTTTGCCGTCCAGGCCAATGGGACCCTGAAAGCAGAAAGGTCAAATGTAAAGCCTGAGCACCACAGGTCTTCTTCCCAAGAGGTGGACTGGGGCAGGGGTAGGAGTGTAGGTTCTAATGACACCGAGTTAGGGTTAAGGTCCACATTTGTCATGTAATTGTGGGTGAGCCTAAGCCTCAAGTTTTCACCCTGAAATGGGAATAATAATCCTAGAACCTTCCTCAAAGGATATTTAGGAGGAGGGAAAGAATGTCACATGCCTGCTGACCAGTACAGGGCAGAATCTCATGGGCAGCACGTTACTGTTGTCAGAGACCCTTTCCTTGTCCTAAGCAGTGAGCAGATAGTGTGGTCCTAGAAGACTGGCTGCTCAGCAGTGAGGTCTGGGGAAGAGTGGAGCCAGCTGCTGCTCTGGACCTGTCTCTTAGAACCTGACTTAGGCCTTGTGAGTAGGAGTCAAGGGGTACTCAGATGGCCACCCCACTGCCACCTCCCTGGAGAACCTCCCCTTAGAGCCTGGTTGAAGGTCTACTCCCAGGTCACTTTCCCTATGATACATCTTCTGCCCACATTCCAGTGTCATGCTGGCTATGTTGCCTACAAGGTCACTCGCCAGGTTCCTGTCCTGCTGTCCCTTGCTTGTGTATGTACCTGGCCTTTCTTGCACCAGAAGCCAAGTGCTGAGCTACTCGCCTGGGTTGGTGTCTCTGAAAGGCCACAGAGCAGGTCTTCAGTGGCCAGGGGTTCAAGGGGAAAGTGGTGCCAGGGCTGACCTTGGTGGATATAGTTTAACCAACCAGACCCATGGCCCATCTGGGCACAGTTAACCTCAGCTCTCCCCACTTACCGGAAATCCGGGGAAGCCTCGAGTGCCTGGTTGACCCTGAAAAGTACAGAGCAGTGAGAATGAGTGAAGAGGGGATGGAGCCAAAACCTGCTCTGGGGCTCATTTCTGAACCCATCCTTTGCTCCTGCATGATCAACTGTGGGGCACTCTCACCATGTTAGCCAGCTGTTAGGGGGATGGAGAAGATGGAAGGGGAACATCAGAGAAAAATCTCCTTCAGGGACTGAGGGTGGGAGAGGGACAGAAGGGGCCAGCATCCTTTGGTCCTACTTCTAGAAGTGGCCCTGGAGTACTCCTCCAGTGCTGTGGGCACTCTGAGCCTCAGCATGCAAACAGACAACAGACAAATAGCCAGCCAGAACAGCAGGGACTCAGCCTGCAGTGCACTCAAGTCCTGGACCAAGATCCAACATATTCTCTTTATTAACAGGCTTTGCTTATCTAAGACCACTTATCTAAGGATGGTTTGGATCTCAGCAGAGAGCAGAACTTGACCTTCAGAATGTATGCTTTCAGGCTAGAATGAGTCGTACTGCTCATGTTCCTCTTGCCCTGGGGTTCTCCCAGCAGGTGGGCAATCTCTGGATGCCCCAGTGTTTGTGGGATGAGAGCCATGGGGGCCCCTTTCCCTGAAAGAGCAGAGTGTAATGCATATACTCAGGCTGGAGACTAGAAGTGATCCATTGATCAGAGCCTCGTGGTTTAAGGTCAAGATAAACAAAAGAGGTGCTGAGGTTAGAAGCAGCACAAGAGCATAGATCCAGATCTGGGGAAGATTATCAGAGGTCAAGGGTAATAGAGAGCTGACAAATGTGAGCCATTGCTCCTCCTCTCAGGAACCACCAAGGGCTCCTTCCTACTCACATATTGTTCAAGGTCACCCTCCACTGCATCCTGATGAGCCATCAGGATGGCTCCTCCATCCACCTGGTCTCTGCTCAGGCACAATGGCTCGTTTGCCTTTCCCTGGAACACATCAGCTCTTGATGTGGGGTCTTTTTACACGTAGATGGCTGTAGCCTCTTTCCGAGGATGGGCTGTTGATTGTGGCAGGCTGAGTTCTAATTTTGCTTCCACCAACAAGGTGGTGACTCTGAGCAGTCTAACCGCCCTGGGCCTCAATTTCCTTATCTATAGAATGTGGAAAGCTGTATAACCTCATAAGGTCACTGAGATACATTCAAACATGCTTGTAAAGCCTATTAAGTGGTAGCTGCCGTCATTGGTTGAATTGAGCTCAAGAGAGAGAGGCACCAGAACAAAGCAGGTTGCCTTTGAGCTCAACAGGCCTTGGGGTCAGTGGAGGGTTATGCTAGCCAAGCAACAGAACCAAAGCCAGATCCATCCAGAGGAAGACTTCTCTGGATCCATCTTCTGTGGTCCATCTCCAGGCTGCCTGGATCCTCCCTGGAGCCATGGACAGGAGTGTCCAGAGCCTCTGCTCCCCTCTGCCTGCTCTCTGGCTGGGTGGCATGGGGACCCTGCCATGTCAGGATGGGGGTGCTGGTCCTCAGGGAGCAAGTTGAAGTCTGTTGTGGCAGGTGTCCAAGGGCAAGAGGGAGGAGATGCCATTCCTATGTCAGAAGGGCCCCAGCTTCTCTCCTCTCAAGGGTAAGTGATGCTAAGAATAGCCTTAAGGAGAAACCCCGGAAACCATGCAATGTAATCCCCAAAACCTCTCAGTGTAAACTTTCTGTAACTGCTCTGAACATGAGAGGCCTGAAGAAAAGGTCAGGAGGAAAGGGTTCCAATAAACATCTTCAAGGGCCGCTTCAGCGAATGTTTACGTGGTAGGGATAATCACACGGTTTGCTAATTACAGAGCATGCCTGGTAGCAGGGTGTATCTTTCCAATGCAGGGCCAAGCCCAGGACTAACCCGGGCTTTTTCAGGGATCTTGGGAGGGATGTTGTCATTGACCACATGGAAACTGGAACTCTGCTTCTTGGAGAGGTTGGGCATGGGGAAGGCACCAGGGAGACTTGGAACTGGGTTTTAATTTACATCTCAATTATATGCTAGGCTTAGATGTCTCTTCCAGTGTTCAATGGCTGGTCTTATTCTCATCCAGTGAACCGCCTATTTGTGCTCCTTACTGATATGTATATGTATTATATAGTAGAATATAATAGAATATAGTGTATAGTATATTAGACTATATAGTGGTATACTATACATTCATACATACATACACCTGTACATTTAAAGACACATACATGTGTACATGTATCAGTGAAGAGTACAGACAGGCATATGTATTTGTGTGGCAGGGGGGGGGGTCTCTCTATGTTGCCCAAGCTGGCCTTGAACTCCTGGGCTCAAGCCATCCTTCTGCCTCCTGCCACCTGTATCTGAGACTACAGGTATGTACTACCATGCCTAGCTTTTACTAATATTTATACCAGGTCATTTATTTATCTTTTTCCCGTTGATTTGAGTGAAGCTCTTTGTTAAGAGCAATGACTCCTTGATAGTCATTTGTGTTGCAAATATTTTCTAACATGGCTTTTGTCTTTTTGTTTATGGCATATTTCCTGCCATATAGAAATCTCACATTTATGTAGACAAACTTATTAATGTTTACCTATGGATTATGTGTTTGTGTCATGTTTCAGCAGGGCCTTCTCCTGTTCAGACTTATAAAACATTTGCTTCTGCTCTGTCCTTATATTTTAGTGCCATGTTTTACACCTAGGTATTTTATTCATTGGGAATATTTCCTGATAGAATGTGTGGGGTAGAGATTCAATTGTTAAGAAAATAATAGAACTTTCTTTTAGCTTATCTGTTTCTTCATGGCCTGTCAGTTGCTCCAGCATCCTTCCTACTGTGAAATGAAGCCTTTATCATACACCAAATTCCCATATGCATTTAGCTTTATTCCTGGCTTGCCATTCTGTTCTATGCCTTTGTTTTGATTGGTCTGTTATGCCATTTCATTTTGGCATCTAGTGTAACTACTTCCCTCCTTCCTGTCCCTCTTTTTCAAATTTACAGAATTTTCCTGACATTCCACAAGCTTACTTTCTTTCTGAATGAAATTCAATATTTTATTGGCTCCCAGTCCCATAAAAATTCACTGGAATTAAGAGCACGTTACATTTATAGATAATAGATTTACCTATAGAATTAATTTATGGATTAGTCCTATATTCCTCTACACAAGAACAAGAGGAAAAAAAAGTACACAATGATCTCTGAGATCTTCTCCCTTAACTCAAGGCCAGGGCCGAAAGGAAGCCAAGAAGGCCCTCACTTTCTGAAAGTGTACCCCTGGATTACTATTCTCAACCTTTCTCCTACCTTTAGCTGTGTGGGGTAAAGCGACACAGAAAGTTCTGGCAGGGAACTGCCTACTGGGAAGTTTCCCTTCATTCCTATTTGATGCTCCAAAGAGGGTCAGTCACATATCTGCCCAGGGCCTGCCTCATTGTGCCTCCCCTCCCTCCAAGTCAGTACTGACCAACAGACTCCACGAAATTGGTAAGTGGTTAATCCTAGCTTGGGGGCCTGGGTGGGGAGAAGAGAGGAGAGCCTGCTCACACAGCATTTGTTAACGCTGTGGTATAAATTCTCCTACCACAGCTGGTTCCTAGCTGTCAGCGTGAAGTCACAAGCTGGGAAGGAGGTGTGCACAGTCTGCTGTTGTGAGCGCTGGCAGGGCTTGGGTACAACACATACCCTGAGCCTCCAGCAGTAAAAGGACTGTTCCCCTCGGACATCCTGAGGACACCTCAAACTCATGCTGCTCTAATAAACCTAATTTACCCAGGTAAAGTCTGCTCCTTCTCTTGGGGAGAGCGCTACCATGTACTGTGTTACTCGAGTCAGAAGTGTGGGGCTTCCTGAGTGCCAGCTGCTGTCCTAAGCTCCACCTTATGATCACTAAATCCTATCACCTCCACCTTCAAATCATCCAGCCCTCCCCCTAGGCCCACTGACTCGGTTACCATCAGGGCGGTCCAACCCATCCCCATCTGTCACCTACTCCAGACATGAGCCCACAGGAGCAGGGAGGAGAAGGCCATCCTTGTAAACTGCACATGTGATTGTGTCCCTTATCAACTTCACACAACCCAAGGACTCCTCACTGCCCCAGGGATGAAGCCCCAGCTCCTGAACGTGTGTCAGGTCCTTCATACTCAGGCTCTTGCTCACCTCGCAGCCCCACACTCGCTTTCCCTCTTCAGGAACTTCCAGGAGCCTCTCTGCGTGCAGGGGCTCAGCACCTCTCCTCAGGCCTCATCCCCTGGGTGACCTCTGTAAGTCCTTGGGTTCAGGTCAGTTATCCCTTCCTCCTGGAAGCCTTCCCTGCCTGGCCCCAACGACAATTTTAGTGCCTCCTCCGTGTTCCCACACCTCCCTGACCATCCCAATACTGCCTGAATTGTAGTAGCTGATGTGACTACTGGCCTCTCCAAATAGGTCGTGGACCTAGAGGAGTAATCAGGTTTCCACTGTCTACCCAGCATGCACTAGGTTCCTAACAGAAACACTCAGCAGCTGTCTCCTTGTGGGTGAGGACAGAAAGCTCAGATCCCTTCTCTGGCCCCTGAGAAGAAGCTGGGGGAGCTCAGGAAGGGACCAGGCCCCTCTGAGATGGGGGCATTGCCCATCCTGATGGATGACCTGCCTACCTTGTGCCTGCTAGGCTTGCCAGCATCTTGAGGTTCAGCCTCTCCCTCCATTTAACAGGGCTCCTTCAGTCATCACAACCAGACACCACACACCAACCTCTTGCATCACTGGAGCGTGAGCCATTCTTCTCCAAAGTGCCTTTGCTTGGACCATTTATCAAGATCCAAGAGCGTGAGCAGGTGGGCCTTGAGAGCCACCAGGCTGCTTCTGACCAGCAGTATTTATTCTTGGTCCTTTCTGACTGAGCAGAAAGCCACACATTCCCATCATCCCCAGCTGCCACCTAGGGCTTGACCACTTGACCTCTGCTCATAATGACAAGCAGACCCTTTGTCTTCCCTGTCCCCTACTCCCACCAGCCCAGGACAACAGAAGGAGCTGAGAGGGTGGGCTTGCTGTCTGCTGAGGACTTGGTGGTCACCTGCAAAAGCAGATATTGGAGGACTGTGGCTTGGTCAGGACTCCTGGTGCCAGAAAGCTTTTCCTAGCTCCAACATATGCACCCTCCTGAGGGTGAAGATCCTTTATAAACAGTGGTGCTTCAAGCATGGAAGGGATTGCAAGAGCAAAAATGTGGGCCTAGGAATGGGGTTGAGCTGGCAGGACTCAAGCTCCCATGTGCGAGTGTGAGACTCCCAGTTTCCTTCCGTAAAAGGGGCTGGTTGTGGCTGCTTCCTGCCTATGGGAGGACTGAAGGAGGCCTAGTACGTGATAGGTGCCTGGGAGACAATATCACCATTATTACCTGAACAAAGGATGGGTTCAAACAGAGGTTGTGGCTTCAAACCCAGAGTGGTAGGTGTGTTCCCAATCCAGCTCATGTTCCCTGGGCCCAAGTTGGAAGGTGCTGAGGCCAGCCACCACCTAGCACATTCTGCAGAAGTAGGTTCTTTGCTATGACTTTTTTTTTTCGGTGGCACTAGAGTTTGAGCTCAGGATCTTATATTTGCCAGGTCAGTGTTCTACCATGTGAACCATGTCCCTGTCCTTTTTGCTTCAGTTTTATTTTTCAGATAGGGTCTTGAGTTTTTGCCTGGGACCACAATTCTCCTATTTACACTTTCTTCATAGCTGGGACCACAGGCACACGGCATCATGCCCAGCTTATGAATTGAGATGGGGACTCACTAACTTTTTGCCAGGGCTGGCCTTGAATCTCCTGATCTCTGCTTAGATTACAGGCATGAGCCACTGTGCCTGGTTTGCAATGACTTTTAGGAGCCTGTGGACAGGGCCAGGAATGGGTATGTGCCCAAAAGGGCATCAGAGGACCAACACAAGTCACACACCAGAACAACTGTGATAAGACCAGAAGGCAGGTAGCCATGATGGCCACAGGGTAATTTATGTTCTGTGTTCTTCCTAACAGGCCTATACCAGGCTCCATTCTTGGTGCCAGAGCCTAGGAACTGTCTCATTTCCCTATGACCTTCCCATCAGCATCTTCTTCTGGAATATCTGGGCTCAGGGCACCCCTCCATGGCTCCTGCAGTATAAAGAAGCCTGATGCCCATCAGGGCAGCAGCCATATGAGCACAAGGAGCACATGTGACAGTGATACCACAGCCTGGCTAGGTCCTTACAGAAGCAGGTTCAGAGCACAGACTCTGGAGCCATACAACCTAGCTGGTGATCACTTTCAAGGTAGCCATAGTGGAGTTGTGCAACCTTGGGCAAGTCACTCAGCCACTCTGTGCCTTGATTTTTCTCATCCGTAAAGTGGAGGTGAAAACAATCTTTACCTCTTGGAGTTCTTGTGAGAATTACGGGAATTAATATGTGTGAAAGTCACAGGATACTCTCTGTCAAAGACCAGGTGTTAAGAATTAGTTCTCAGCACTGTTGTGAGGTCTGAGTCCAGAAGAAAAGCTTGCTAACAGTGCTGAATCTCTTGACTCCAGAGTCATTCAATCTCTGCCTCAGCCAGGCCCTGACCTGTCTGCCAGCCCTGACTCTCTGTATCTTCTGCTGCTTCTCTCATCTTCCCAGTCTCCAAACAGCCCTGATTGCTCCACCTCTCACCTCCCAGTGGTCAGCCTGGCCTGTCTCTTGGCTACTCAGCTCACTGCAGCCCTTCGAAGGACGTCTCTTAGCAACTTGGTCTCTGACCCTTCTCCCTAGACTGCAGGTCACAGAGGTTCCTGTTTCCCTCTGGCTCTCTCTGCAGAAGACAGGCTAATGGGTGGGCTGAGTTTCATCCACCCACTGGGCTAGCTGCAGCCTCTCAGAGGCTAGCCCTCAGGTCAAGGAATGTGCACAGTAGGATGTGGAGTCAGTAGCCTGTGGCCCCAACCTCTACACACAGGGCCATGCCATGCTTTTTCCCGGGCCTCAGTTTCCTCTTCTAAGAAAGCAGTGCTAGACCATCTGAGCATCCTTGCCCCTGCATGACACTTGGTGATTTTATTGAAGATGTAGGGGGGGCACTCTGGGAAAACCCACTCATCCTTCTTTCCACAGCCACGAAACTTGCCTGTTCCGTCATATTCCCCACTCCCCCTCCAGTACCTAAGGAAGCACACTGTGAGGAGCCGCACTGATTTCCTGTTGGAGCTCTGTCACCAGGCGTAGGGTGGGCAGGGCTGACACTTTGAGGGCCAATGGTGGGTTGTGGTTTCACCCAGACTAGGAATGGGTGTCGGGGTCAATGAACTTGGGCTTGGCCTTCTGCTTCCTGGCTTCCGGAAACAAAGCCTTGTTCCCAGGAAAGCTGGAGCCCTCACCAGGGGGGGCGAGCACTTTCTCCCTGATGTAAACAGCAGGGCCGCCTTGCAGCTGCTGGAGATTGTGGCTAGAGGCGAGGCCCAGAAGCCTCCCCCAGGCTGTAACATAGGTATATTTAGTCAGGCTACTTTCTTTAACATTAACAGCAGTCCTGAGGCTCACAGAGCTGACCACATTGCATGTGCCACACCCAGAGGCACAATCAAGAGTCAATCTCCCTTCGTCCCCCAAAGCCCTTCTCATTGACTCTCCCACTTCCCTACCCACCCTAAAAAGAGAACAACTTACAGGGGGGCCTCGGGGACCAATGATGGACATTCCGGCATCTCCTGGGGCACCCTGTGGGGAGAGAGAGGGAGGAGAGGGAGCATGGGGCAAGAGTGGGGGGTAAGGGTGGGGATAAAGTAGACAAAAAAGGTGAAACTGGCAGGAGAGGCAGAGGTAGGATGCCAACCCATGACCAAAGGGAGACCAGAGATGTGGTGGTTAGTGAGGGAATGGGGGGGGGCACAGAAAAAGTAAATGGAATTTTCAGGAAAGGTTGAGAAAGGCAGGAATGAAAAGAGACATGAACAAGGTCAGAGGATGTTGGGTCCAGAAGGATGAGGGTGGTAGACCAGGAAGTGGAGAGAACAGGATTCATGGTAGTGACCAAAAGAGACACAGGGAAGGGGAGGCTGAGCAACGGCTGCCAGGCAACAGGCCTCACCTAAGTCTCAAAGCTCCCAGGTCTTCTTTATCCTGCCCCTCCCCAAATACCCATCTGGTTGCACACACTGCAATTGGCGAATGGCGAGCTGTCCAGAGCAAGTGTGGGTTTGTGAAGACAGAGAGTCAGGACACAAGATGCATACTGACTACGTAGGCCCAGTAGCCTAGAGTCTGAAAGCCTGGACTGCCTGGAATGTCCTAGGGAATGCCACAGGGGGGAGTCTGGGGCCCAGCAGACTGCCCTAAGAGAATGGCGAGCACTAGCAGGGTAGGAGCTCCAAGCGCTGTGTGGAGTGGAACAAGTAAGTTGGCCAGGCTCCTAAGCTTCCCTGGTCCTGTCTCCTATCTGTGGCAGGAAAAATAGCACCTTTCTTATTGGGTGGATGGGAAGATTTCATGAAACAATGTTGTAAAGTGCTTAAAACAATGCCTGGCATGTGGAAAGGTCGTGTATCTTTCTCCTGGGCAATCTTGCCCCAGCCAGGGCAGGACCAACAGACTTGTTCCATGTAGACAGAGGACAGCACAGCATGGTGGTCAGCAGCCCCAGCCTTGGAGTCAGATACACTTGGGTGTTCTCCAGCTCTGATGCTTTCTAGCTGTTGTGACACTGGGCATGGGACTTTGCCTTTCTATGCCTCATGTACATGGGAATATTAAAGCTTCCCTGGAAGGGTGGTGTCAGTGTTAAGAGACAAAAATACTTAAAACTGCTCCCTGACACAATTCGTGCTTGATACATGGTAGCTGCTGTTCTTATGGTTGCCACTGTTACTTTGGAAATTGGAGACTGTTGTAGACATATTGTCACACACAAGAAAGGAAGTCAGAGTTAGATGACAGGAGGTCTGTCTTCTGGCCCTGCTCATCACTATTGCTCTGGGACTTTGGGTGAGGCCAGCCTTCCTCTGGGTATCAGGTGCCTTCTCTACTGAATGAGATGGTTACACTGTGCTCTGAAATTTTCCCAGAACCCACCTGGGCTAATGTTCCAGGATGGCCTTCTGTTTCTCTTTTCCCCAAGGGCTTCTCTAACCCTGGGCTCCCTGGGCATTTCCAGCCACATAGCAGCCATGGGCTGGCCTTCTTGCCTTGGGGAAGGGTGACTGCCCACAGCCATAGCCAGGGATCAGAACTGTGAGGCCCATGTGGTCAAGGCGAGGCAGGAGACCCTCTCAGTCAGGACAGCTGGGGCCATGCCCAGGAATCCCAAGCTCCTGCTTGATGGTGTGGAAGCTGTTAGGAAACCAGCTGCCAGAGGCTAGGAGGGCAGAGCAGACTTCCTTGGGCTGGGCAGGGGCTGGTGGAGCAGGGGAGGGCTGAGACAGGGTTGTTGGGGAACTTTTTCCCCCACCCAGAGTCTCCAGTGAACCAGGAGGCAGGGAAGGGTGAAGGGAAAGGGTGGACTCACCTTCTCGCCTGGTTGGCCCTTGACTCCCTAGGCAGCAGCCACATGCAGCGCAGGGTGCAAGGAAGAGAGAAGGAGGGAGAGAAAAAAGAAAGAGGATGAGAGAGGGGCACGGACACAAGAATTCATGTTAATGGCACAGCAACCAAACCAAAGAAATCACCGTGAAACAAGAAACACAATGGAACACAGATGCTAACACATGACAGATCCAGGCCCAGCAAGCACAACATGTGGAAGCCTGTCGTTCCACTCCTGCTCAGCCCCAGCCGATTGTTCCAGGTAACAGAGAGAAACAGTGGCTGGGGCTGCTGGAGACCCTCTCAGTAAGAGTTTGTGTGTGTGTGTGTGTGTGTGTGTGTGTGTGTGTGTGTGAGAGAGAGAGAGAGAGAGAGAGAGAGAGAGAGAGAGAGAGAGAGAGATAGTGCATGTGAGTGCTAGTTCAGAAAATCTGCTTGAGAAGCCAGGGCCCTGCTGGCTGGGTTGGTGGAGGTGGGGATGGGGTGGAGAGTTTCCCAAGGGCTAGGCTGAACCAGAAGACTGTAGGAATTTGAAGGCCCAGCTGGGCACCAAGCACAAAGTTAGATAAGTTTGGGACTGTAAGGGCTGGCCAGGCCAGGTAGAGGGAGGGGCAGAGGAACATATGTGGACAGACAGGAGAGGGACACCCACACCTTGCAAGGGTGGAGGGTAGGTCGGGATGCAGAAGAAGCTGGGTACCTGGCCAAGGGTCCCTTGTCACCACAGTGACCAAGAGATGGAGAGCCCCAATGCAACTAGCTGGCGAAGCAGGGGAATTACCCAGGAATTTCACAGGCACAGGCCACCACAATCCTTATTAGGTGGCTCATGCCAAGACCCCTAGTGGGCAGCCAAATGGGCCTATTGCCACATTTAAAGCAGTACCAGCTGTGCAAGCCCCAAAGTGGCTGGAAGATAGCTTTCCCCAGAAGGAAATGGGGACCTCCTGTGGCTCCCCATGTCTCCCCACTGCTGAAGTCACAATAAGCTCTGAGGGGTACTTCCTGGGGAGAGACTTCCAAGGGCCTAAGGAGGAGGGCAGGAAGAAGGAGGGAGGTGCTAACTTTGCACTTTGCTGTTGCACTCCCAGGACAGTGGGACAGTCTGCTTGGGTATAAAATCAACTCTACCCCATTTGGTCAATTGTGCTTCAATATTCTCATCCATAAAATGGGCTCTCAGTGGATTGCGGTGGAGGCTGTGCCTGGCTGGGCTGCATACCCAGCAGGCCCCCATGGAAGGATGGCAGAACTAGGTCTCCTTCTCTGCACCAGAAAGACTTTTGTTTGTGGACTCAGGGTCTGGCAGGTAGAGAGCTTAAGCCAAGCAACAGAGCCAGGCAGAGCTGTCATGGTGTTCTGGTCTGGAATTGGAGGGAGAATTTCATGTGAGGTGGACAAGGGCCCCCAGCCCCCATGCCTTGACAGGCCTAGGATGGGCCCCAGGGGTCTCACAGCTTTGTGGCATGGAGCACTTGTCTTAAACTCTGGAATGTCTCTGGGGCTTCAGCCGAAGATCAGATCCTCCTTACAACTGTGATGCTGTGAGTTCATGGCTAAGGGCAAAATCACAAGTGTGGAGTCTGGCTACTTGGGTTAAAGTCCCTGCTCAGCCACTTCCTGGTTGTGTGGCCTTGAGAAAGACGTTTAACTCTGGGCCTTGGTTTTCTCATCTGAAAAATGGGTGTGGGAATTGTGCCTCCACATGCAGTTCTTGTGAGGACTGAAAGCACTTGTGTGTGTGAGGCTATTAGCCTGGCGCCCAGCACGATGTCAGCACTTGCAGAGCTTGGCTAAGTTTGGGGTGCCTTGGCTCTGTGCCTATACTAGACATGCAAATTCTCACACAGATGCCATAGCCATGCCTAGAGCCAATGTCAGCCCAGGAGGTAAGATTTAGATGCAAAGCCAGGAGTGACAGGGGGCTGGGAGTCAGGCTGGAAGTAGAGGCTGATGCTAGCAGGAAGCTAGGACTCAGATGGAGAAAGGGCAGCCCTGGCCATGCCCTAGACCAGTCTGTGTGCTGGTGAGTCTGGTGCATGCCCATTGCTGCCTCCGGCTGCTACATTTCTGGCCCTTGGAGACTATAATCTTGAGGCTGCTGGGGAGACCCAGGTACCGGGTCTGGAGCCAGCCTTCTCATTTCTGGGAAACACTCTCCCTAAATGACCCTCATCTCCGTTTCTCCATCTTCATTTTTCAGCAGGAAACATTAAATGTCCTCACACTTGGCCTCCTGGTGAGGATCTGGAGGCACATCCTGGAACCTAGCCTGGTTTTCACCATCTTTGAGTGACTCTCCATCTACAGAAGACACCTCTGGAAACTCCAGTTGTACTTGGGATGGTAGCAGAAGCAGCTATAGATCAGAGGGTGAGGTGCTTGCCCTGGTGCAGGGGATTGGAGTCTTCTGGATGCTGGGGCTTAGGCCTCACTGACATCCAGTAGGTGATCAGCAAAGAGTTGTGTTTCTGCAACTTTCTTGGATTTCTCCTTTGCTGTGGCATCTGTCTGCAGAGTACAGTTGTCCCCACTTATTTGCAGGGGACATGTTCCAAGACCCCCAGTAGATGCTGGAAACCATGGATTGTACCAGACCCTGTGTATAACTATGTTTTTCTTAAATATACCTATGATAAAGATTAATTTATAAATTAGGCACAGTAAGAGACTAACAACAATAACTAATAGTAAAATAGAACAATTATTACAATGTTTTTAAAAGTCATGTGAATATATTCTCTCTCTTTCTCAAAATACCTTATTGTATCATAACATTTTCAGACCATGGTTGACCACAGACAAGGGTGAGCTTCAGTAAAGCCATAGTGTGAGATCTGGAGACTGGAATAAAATTTCTTCCTTTCTTTTTTCCTGTCCCTCCCTAAAGCTGTCCCTTCTTGGGGTTGGGGTGGGCAGAGCCTTGCCATGTTGGAGGACAGGCCAGCATGGAGAAGCAAGCAATGGCCACCCAAGCAGATTAAAGGGGCTAACTCACCACACGTCCAGGCATCCCAATGGCACCTTTGTCCCCCTGATGAAGGAGGCAGAAACAATCAGATGTGGCTGGAGCTAGCAGATGTGCACCTAGGGCTAGTTGTGTGCCTGCTTTGGGGCACAGCTAGCCAGCTTTGCAGGGGCAGCTGGGACATGATGCCCAAGTGTCACATGGGTGAATTTCCCAGGCAGTTCCCACACTATTCACTAAGTGACCACCTGTATGACTGCTGACACTCATTGTGGAATGAGTGCTAATGTAGGAGTCTGGTCCCCAGTCTGGGACCCAGTGTCATTTGTGTTTCCAAGACCCTTTCTCCCTGTTGCAACCCAATCAAGTGATGACCAGAATGCACCTCGGCTTCACCACACTCAATTGCAAGGCACAGAGTAAAGTGACTGGCAGCTTTCATGTGACAGATGGGTGAATTACTCCCTAGGTCTATCTGCCAGAGCTGGCAAGCAGTATCCACGCTCCCCTCTCCTCCCCTACCCCTCTGTCTGCAGAGACTATGGTTGGAGTTCCACTCCATCCCTCCTTCCTCACAGCCACCTCCAGCATGGCAGGAAGGACCGTGAGCCATGTGGATTCAGCCACACCATGAGTTTCAGATGCTTGGAGGGAGCTGCTTTGTTTTGCAGCCAGGGGTGACATCTTCTCACTCTGGAAATCTGCTTATGAAGTTTTGTTTCTCTCCCTTTTGGTAGAAAATATTTTTTTGCAATCATATGCATGCAGACATCATAAAAGCTGGGGTGGGGCTTGGAAGGATGGAAAGCAATGGGGTGCAGAAAATAAGATCATATTTTCTTAGCCTGCTGGGTAGGAGAGAGCTGCATTCTAGCATTCCCCTGAGATGTGTGGGCATTTCTGGGTGATCCTGCTGACCCACTGAGAAAGAATGCCTCGACAGACTAGTGGCATCCTAAGATGTGTCTGTAACACACCAGAGAATTCAGTCAGCTCTGAATTTAGGCTTCTTGACACATACATTGTCAAGGTCAGTGGTGTCTTTGAGCAAAGCACTCTGCTTTTGCTGAAGAAGGTAGAGCAAGGTAGCACCAACAGTTTCCTTGGCCCCCCTGAGCATCAGCTCTATGGAGCAAGGGTAATCAGAGCTTCTCGCTCATGAGGTTGCTGGGAGGACCCCATGAGATGAAGTCTCTGTTGCTCAGTATGTATTGAGCAATGGCATATACTTGTGCCAAGCCCAGCACAGTCAAGGGCAGGTGAATTGTATAAGGATGTTTGGGCCTCACACCCACTGCAGTTCATAACAAAGGACCAGTGTCTGCACATCTTCTCATGGGTCACTCCCTGTCCCTTCACATGAAAAGCTTAAACAGGACCATGACCTGTGGGTCTGAGACCCACGTTTCCTGCTAAGAACACCAAGCTGGTGCTGGTTCTTGGCTGTGACAGCCCCACAGTTCCACTCACTCTTGAGCTTTTCAATGATATTTCAGGATGTGTGTTTTGGATTCTTTTTCATTTCTTTTTAAAAACTAATGTTCTTTGCAGTCTTGGCCATAAAATGCTCGGGTTAGGGACAGGCGTGGAATGGCCAGAGACTGGAAACTCTGTAGCAGTCCCTGCTCTGTAAATTGCCCCCTAAATGTGTTTTAAAGGTGGACGTTGTCAGAAAAAAAAAAAGTCTGACCACATTCCCCATAATCATATGATTTTTCCCCTCCTTGGATTTCACAGGACCAATTCCCCAGTTCTCCTGTGCTCTGGGCTGAACATTCTCCCACATGCATTTCATTAAGAAAGACACTGCTGGGCATGAATTTTAGAAGCTGTTGGATTAGTCAAAAGGCTATAGTACAATTCATGTCCAAAAGGGGAGTAAGTGGAGAAGAAAGAACAGAAGGGTCTGGAATTCAATGGATGTAGCCTTGAGCAATGGGACAGGGCAGTTAGGTGCCACCCCAGGCCCACTTCCACACTCCACCTTGCCCTCTGACTGGCTACATCTTGCTTGAGTCACTCTCCACCTGAAGGCCCACAGTATCCATGTCTAGCACTCATCTCATCTATCCAGGAATGCACAGGACAATGTGCAGACATTTGAGAAGCTGGCTCTCAAATACCAAGCATGGACCACAAGAAATCGCAGTATGGAATGGTGTGTGACAACATGGGTCTCCAGCAGCTCTCCCACTGAAGCTTGGACAGTTGACAATGTATTTTGCCTCTCTGAGTCTCAGTTTCCTCATCTCTAAAATGGATCTAGCCATACTCATTTCACTGAGTTGTTGAACAAATCAAGCATAAAGAATGATTAGCTTAGTGGCTGGATCTATTAGAGTTTCACCAAGAAACTATTAGTATTAGTCTTACTTTTGTTCCAAAGTCTCTGTTGCCCAGTAGTTTTAGAATTCAGAAATGGTAACTAGATGAAAACAAAGGTTTTGAGTCCTCTCTTTCACAAGAGGCCAGAGGAGAAAGGGGAGGGACAGTGGTTTGAGTGCCATGAGGTATGTGGGAGGATCTGAGTGAGTCAGTGGCTTGCTGCCCCCTCCAGCACCCAATTACAGGACCATTAGTCTAGAGGTCAGTTCCAGCCTTAGGACAGTCTGCTGCTGAGATCCACCTACCTGCCTGATTTCCCCGGGGCAGGGGTGACGGGGGCTGTTGGGGACCAAGAGCTACAGCTGGTGGCTCCAGGTTTCTCAAGGGCTCCAAGGCAGAGAGGCTCAGTGGGTCCCACCCTCAGCTCCAGGTTAGAGACTCCAGGGAGAGGCCTGGCCTGGAGACACCTGGAAGGGAACCAGCCACCCAACCCAGCCACCCTCCAGCATGTGAGGGGCTACAGAATAGCTCGGTGGCAGAGTGCTTGCCTAACATGTGTGAGGCACTGGGTTCCATCCCTACACTGAAGAAAACGAATAAATACAAAGCACATGAAAGAAGAGCAGAGGAAAGAAGAAGAAAGTTACTTACTGGGAGTCCGGGTCTTCCAGTGGGGCCCTGAAATAAAGGGGTGAAGAGTGAAGTCGACATGGGTCGGGATATCGACTAGCTAACTGTTCGATCCTGCATGAGCTCGGGTAGGTTCCCTGTGCTCTGGGAGCTTCTGTTATTTAATTAGCAAAATTCAGGTGTGCTGTGACCACTAGGCATTTATTTATTTACTTCCTAGCATTTATTCATTGATTGATTAATTGATTCATTCATTAATAAAACCAGATAGCCAAGGTCTCTAGGAACAGGAAACGGAAAGAAGAGACTATCCTTTTTCTGATTCAAGGTTGCTTGGGACCGTGGGCCTCACCAGCATGGCCCTCTCTCTGAGAGCACTGCCTCACTCAGAGCTGTATAGTGACTGCCACTCATGCATCCTGGCCATGGCCTAGGTAAGGGGCTATCATGTTAGGGTCTGGTCTTCCCTGTTCCACCACACTGGAGGAGCCAGGTTCAGGGCAGAGTCCTTCAGCCCCTGAGATGCCCCTGTTGGACCTGTCACATCTGAGTCCACGGTACAAGACCATGGATATGTGTGTGGGTGCATCCACAGAGGATCACAAGACAAGCAGCGGGACTTTTATGTTGGCCTAGGTACTCAGGGAGGCAGAGATAGGAGGGCCAGCTCAGGCAAAGTTAGCTCAAGAGCCTGTCTGAAAGACAAACTTAAACAAAACAAAATAAAAAAAACGCAGAGAGGACTGGGGTGTGGCTCAAGTGGCTTCATAAGGCTCTGAGTTGAATCACTAGTGCAGAAAAAAAAAAGTCAATTATACTAATTATTCTCATAGCAATATGCTTAGAGGCAGCTTGAGAACCAAGAAAATCACGAGGAAGTCATGTCCTTTTAGCACTGGATCCTGACTTCCTGATGAATCTGATAGAAGCAGAGGTGAGAAACTGCCCATAGCAGTGCCTCCTGGGGAATCGTGAAGCCCCTTGTAAAGAAGGGAGACACTCCTAAGAGACCTTCAAGAGTTGGGCTGCAGCCTGGCATGGCAGGACCCAGGGTCTTGGTGGTGAAGGTGTCTCAGTGAGACAGACAGTGTGTCTTCTCGGCAGCAGCTCTGAGCGCACCTGTGCTCAAATCTTGGCTATGCCGTTTACTACCTGGGTGATCTTAAGTAAGTGGCTTGGTTTCCTTGTGCCTCTATTTCCTCATCTTGAAAATGGGAGAAAAGTCATCACCCATCTTTCAGAATTAAAAGAGATAATGTATGTAAAGCACTGAACTCGGGGACTGGCAGAGGGCAAGCCCTAAGTAAATGCCAGCTGCTGCCACTATTAGAAGACAGGGGACAGATGGTGAAGGTGTAGGACCAAGAACAGCTGTGCTTCACGGACTGTTCTGTGTACTCCTACCACACTGCAGCCCGAATCTTGCAAAAGCTGCTTTTGCTCTGAGGAGCTCAAAGCCAAATTTTCCTGCTCTGCTCTCCATTCCCTACTCTGGCTTCCTTATCTAGTTTTAAATCCCTCCCTTGGGATGAGGTGGGACAGAAAGAAATGAAATAAACTAATCAACAAAAATTCACATAATAATAATTTCTCTCTTAAAATTAAAGGCTTATGAGAACCTTTATGGATCAGCTGGAAAAGTCCCGTTTCTAGGATAAAATGAGTTGATATATTCCAAGCAGAAAAATATATACCGATACTGTGTACTCATATACATATATAGTCTTCACAACACCCACACGAGGCAGATACAATACTGTTCCCATTCCACAGATGAGGCAAATGAGGCACAGGAGAATAAATAATTTGCTGAGCCACAGTTAAGAGTGGCAGTGCCAGGACTGGGCACAAGAAGCAGGAAGTCATCACTGTTACACAGCTTGCATAAAATCAAAACAGGGCCTCTCACAGCGTCAGCTAGCGTTGCAGCGAGAATCGTGTGAGACTAGGCCTGGTAGCTGACCTTAAGTCTTTCTCCGTATTTATCCAGAGAAGTATACCCTTACTTCCCTTTCATCTGTTTCAGTCTCACAGTTCCCAGTATTAAGTAAGTTCCCCGGGAATGATGGATGTCAGCTGGCTCACTGATTACGTTGAATCCATTGGCAATGTCTGCATATGCATGAGTGTGGGCCAGTGGTGGCTACCAATCTGCTATCAATTTCATGGTTCCTGTTGCCTCATCAATCCATCCTCCATGGTGTGAGCCAACCTTGTGCCCATGGGAACCTGGGTCTTCTGAGTGGAGGCTGGGCCAGCCCCTGAGAGATACCCTCAAGGCAGCAGACAGGCATCCAGCTAGCCCTTACCTCTGGCCATTGACATCCTTCTTTTCAAGGAAGTGGAGAGAACAGGGCTGAGGAGGCTATCCCCATCCTGGTGGGCTTCCCGCTCCCTCCACTTCCTCTCTTGTGCTTTCAGCCAGAGCTGGGCAAAATTCAGTGTTTTTCTTTAGTGTCAGTCTGGGTAGGTGGGAAAGCTAACCTGGGCCCTGCACCTCATTTTCTGGCTCAGTTGTGGTCAGGTGGGCAGACTGTGAACAGAGACTCATACCCCCCAACTCTTGTCTGACACTGCAGACCCTAGGAATATCAGTTCCTGTTCCAGCTGGGAACAGTGCCTGGGCCAGGCTGGCACAAGTTCTCAGGATGCTAAATTCTTGGGAAAAATCCTTGAGTCAGACAAGGACTCAGAGTCAATGCTGCCACTGGGGTAAACTCCATCAACTCTGGGGACATCATGTGTAGAGGAGGCCCCAGGAGGAGGGAGGTGGAGATTTCATTAAAAAAAAAGACAGGGGACATACAACCCAGGTGGTCTGTCAAAGTCCCTTATGGCTGTCAATGTTAGAAGATGGATGACAGGAATTGTGATCTGACATCCTAAACATGTCATGATGAATCACCCTCTTCCTTTCAGAGAATGACAGGTTTTTCCTCTTCACCTGTGTCTTACCACTCAGGGGGCTTGGCACGACCCTCAGTTGGTCCAAGGGTGTCAGGGCACTGGTGGAATTTAGATAATGATCTCATTAACGCTGGGCGGCTGCTCTCCCAGGTACCAGGTACCGGGGCAGTGTTGGGGAGGGAGGAAATCACCTATAGAACAGACTTCTCTGAATGAGGGACGGGGTGGGTGGATTTCAGTAACCTTGAGAAAGAGCTGAGTTGAGGCTCGGCCCTTTTATCTCCTGGTCCCCAGCTCCTCCAGTGCTTTTTGAGTCTTTTGTTGGGATATCAAATGCTGTCCCTCAAAGAGCACGTAATCCTGTTCTCTGGATCCATTACCTTGGGGAGACATCTCCTTGGGCTCTTCTCAGGTTCTTTAGAAATGGCTGGGCTCCCCTGCCCACCCTGGGACTGACATACTACCTCTATGGCTACCACCACCACCACCACTGGCTCCACTTGCCCCAAGGGACCTGGCCAGAACAGCTGCCCACGCAGGGGTGTGAACATCAGTGTTCCTGGGCACTCTACACTTGGAGCCAAGCCCTGACCTGCTTTCTGGATGAGGTGGAGACTTTCCAGGGGCAGAACTGAGTCGGGGTGATAACCCTCTTCTTTCTAATACCTGCTGCTTCTTTGTCTGCAGTTGCTTATTTGGGGTACAAAGGAGCTGGCACAACAAGGACAACCTGCCTTGCAGAATGAAACTAGGCCTACTTTGCCCTGCACAGCTATGCTCTTGTACACAGAGCTATGCTCAAATTAAATAGCATCCTTCTTCCCCATCTAGGGGGGCTTGGAAGCAGTCTGCATAGGGCCCCTGCAAGACTGCAAGAGTCTGGCTGTTAGAACCCCACCCAGGACCCCGTTACCAGTAGATGATTTAGGCTTTCAGATGCACCAGACCAGGCTGCAGCATACTTACAGGAGGTCCTGAAAGAGAGAAAATGCCAGGATCAACGTCACTGCTGACAGTAGGGGGCGGCAGAGAGGTCGCCTTAGAAGAAGCATCTAAGATTTTAGCAGAGGGATTTCCATCTGGTCCTCAAAATTTGTATTTTCCTCGTTCACTTTCCTGGTATAATCTCTCTTCCATTTATTTCATCTCTATATTCTCATTATTGTGTGGGAAGCCCAGAAGTCTGGCCCCAGGCTCAGCTTTGCAGGGGACCTAATGATGGTTCCCAGGCCTCAGCTTTCTGCCCCCCAGAAATGGGCTCTTTAGGGCCTGCCTAAATTCAGGTTCCTTTACTTGGCACGGGATGGTGGGCACCACGGCACACAGAAAGAGATCAAAATAACAGAACCCAGGGAGGTCTAGACTGTTAGTACTGCCCTGCGAGCTTCCCACACCCCACAATGGAAAATGAGCAGGAGAGAGCCAGTGTGGGAGGAGCTCCTCACTAGGTTTACCACCGATGTCTATCAGCTGTCCTGGTTTCTATCAGGTAGCGAGCCAGGCAGGTATCCTGTGCTCCTGGGTCTGCCGAGGCCCACCTCTTGGCCTCCAGCCCAGCCTTTGGTCCCTGCAGCCTCTTTTCCCCTTCCTCCTGTGTCCACTGTGTCACCAGAGTGGGCCTCAGCAGCTGCCGTATCTCTTTACTGGCAATAGCCAAGAATTACAAGTTCAGGGATTCTGAAGGAGGAATGGTGGGAGTGGGAAAGGAAGGCAGGGAAACAAACTGGCTGAAAGATAGGGAACCAGAAGACATTTCTGCAGCACATGAGCCACAGAGTCCTCACAGGTCCCTGGGATTCCCAGCTGGGCCTGTGCATCTGTTCAGCCTCGGTGACCTGGCTACAGCTACTCCTGTGCTACTTTCATGCCTGGCAAATAAAGACTACTTATGTTTCCTCTGGCTCCTCAGGTTCCCCAAACTGGCTTTCTTCTCTCCTTGATCTGCCCGTGGTCCCCACACAGGAGGAAACAGCCCAAATCATACTGGCCTCTATCAAGCCATCGTCTTAAGGGGAAGCAAAATGTTTTGAATTAAAAACAACAACAAAAAAAATCAAGCTGTGTAGTGATTGGCTGGGAAGCCCCAGGCTGGTGGGCCGGCCTGCATGCAAGGTTCCAGAGTAAGCCAGCAGTAGTGTGGAGTAGGGAGGGGGAACATCTGGTACCTATTAGGCAAAGGGGCAGGGAAATGTCACCCAGAACCTGAAAGTATCCTGAGTGCAGCCTGCCAGGGGCCAGCCCAGCTGGGGAGTCCTAGCCTCCTGGTCGGGGATGTGTCCTCAGCATGAAAAGCAGGCTGGTGACGAAGTTTAGCCTGTGGCAATTTTTGGATGGTTCAGCCACATGGAGGGCAGATGCCCTGAGCCCACTGATCCTGACAGGGCCCTGGTGAAGTCCCTGGTCACACAGGCTGGAGCTCTGGTGGCAGCCTATTTAAGGTTAGCAGTCTTAAATAGATACATAGATAGCTGAAGCTAGAGCGGTCACTCAGCCAGGTCCCAGAAGAGAGTTTTCTGGGTCTTCCCCAAGGTTTATAAATGCTACTTCAGATTTCTGGGGTGGTGTTGCATCACCACGACCATCGTTCCTGCACAGACCCCTCTTTCCCAGGTGCCAGGCACAGGTCTAAGTGTTTTCCATTACAAAGTAGACCCCAGTTTGCAGACCAAGACACTGAGGCAGGGAAAGGTCAAGCAACTCCCCCATAGCCCAGCAGTTAGTCACTGGAAGTGCTCTTGACCCCTTGCTACAGTGCCTCTCACTCAAAAAGCAGCCACCCCACCCCCAAAAGTGTCTGTAGACCATGTCCTTCCAACCTTCTCCCTGGGATGTCCAACCCACTCAGCCTCCACCCCTGTCCATACTCAACCTTCTATTCTCTTGGGGCTCTTTTGACTTATGCAAGGGAATTCAGTTTTGCCAAGATCTTGTCATTACCTGCACCTGTCACTTACAGGGACTTCAGGAAAGAGAAAGGCTCCTATGTGTTGTCACTGTGCTGTAGGAAAGGGAAGAGACTCGGAGAATCTCTAGGCTCTATCACAAATGTTTCCCCGACAATGGTGGGGGTCACCCTCATTTCCATAGGTCCTTCTGGAAAATAGCTAGGCCCCTTGAGGAATCCAACTGTTGTCCTTCCCCTGACAACTGTCAACCAGAAAGGTCTGCAGTAGGGACCCCTTGATTTCATCTGGCACTGTGTTCCACACTAGGCAGCACTAGGAAATGCAGGAATGGCCCTGTGAAGAATCCTGGGGTGGATGCTAGGTGTGCCTTTCAAGCACATTTTGTGCAGTCATTCATTGATTCAGCAAACATTTGAAGAATGTCTTCTCTGTGTCAGTCCCTGTGCTGGCCTGTGGCTATCTAAAGATGAATAACACATGGCCATTGCCCTTCAAGGATGGAAAACTGCATTTTTAAGCACCTACTATCCACAGATACAATGCTAAGTTCTGGTGATATGGAGATGAAGAACTTCTTTTCTTCTGCTGAGAAATCAACATGTCCCATGTGAGAAAGTTGGAGAATGTCCAGAGAAGAGAACTGAGTGAGCCATGAGGATGGAGGGAGAAAGACCTGTTTTGGGAGACATCATTCATTCGTTCACTCAGTCAGTCCATTGACTGACTGTAACTGTAATGTTGTAGTGGCTCTTCCAACAACCTTATGAGGGTGGTAGGATGGTCCCCATTTCATAGGTGGAACTTATTCTGTGGAGGTTAAGCAACCGCCCTAAGGAGATCACTGGACAACACCTGTTTTTTGAAGTTCTTCACATTTTATGTTTTAGGTTTAATTTCCATTCAGTGGACCCTGGATTTGAACCTAGTCTCTCTTGCTCCAAAGCCTGTGCTCTCCAGGCTGGAGGTCACGCAGGTCCTTGAGGGTGGTAGGGGTGACCTGCTTGGCTCTGCCAGTCTCTGGACCCAGCGTGCTCCTGGGCAGGGGAGTTCAATGCCACATAAGCTGGGACCAGTGGCTCCCAGCAGCGGGGGTCTGAGCCCCCAGGCATGCCTCTGAGTGCCTGCTGCCAGGCTGCACCTGCCACTTGGCTCTGCCACATGTCAGACCCACCCATCTCAGCCAGGACAAATGTTCTGCAATCTGGGTTTCTCTTGGACGTTGAGAGTGACAAACAGTACCAGTCACACTGCTTGCAGTGCAGGGGCTCTCAGCTGGAGCCAATTTTGCTCCTGGAGGACAGTTGACAATGTCTGGTGACATTTTTGATTGTCAAAACTAGGAGGCTGCTAATGGTCTCTAGAGGGTACAGGTGAGGGACAAATCTGGTGTCAGATGTCAATAGAGCTGAGGATGAGATGCCCCCCTTACAGGCCTGGGCCTTACTTGATCTGAGGTTTACCAACTTTGGGATTCCATTCATTTACAGTTTTGCCTCATCCACCTCCACTCAGGTATTGAGACTTTATCCTATGCCCTACTCTGGTGCTAAGAACTCAGTCTACCCAACATCCCAACAAAGTAGTTACAATGGTTATTATTCCCACTCTGCAGATGAAAAAGCTAAGGCCCAGAGAGTTAAGTCACACAGCTCACACATGCTTGAGCTTATACTCATGTCAAGGTCTGATACTGCACGGCAGGAACACAGCCTCGCTCAGTGAAACTCAGCCTCCTAGGATCACTGGACCATGGAAGTCTGAGGTTGGCACACAGGAGAAATCAAAGGAGCAGCCTCTGCTACATCGAGCCTCGGAGAAGGGAATCTTTCCTTCTTGCGAAGCTTCAAAAACACACTAGCGAAATTTGTTCATGGCAGGCATGATGGCTGCTGAGGGAAGTCACATGAACTTCGTGGAAGCAGCCTCCAGCCTTTGAGGTTGACATCAAAGGGAGCAACCAACCCCCCACCCCCAGCCCTGCAGCCTGACCCTGGCTGTACAGGGCAGGCTGAGGCTGATTTCTGGGCAGTCTGAATTGGATGCTCCGGGCATATGTTCGATAAATCATGATTTGTGACTTTGACAAAAGCACTTCCTGTCTCATAGCTCACTACAACCAACTCCTATCTCATGGATGAGGAGACTGAGGCTCAGAGAAGGGAGGTTGCTTGTCAGTGGTTCATGGTAAGTGATCCGGAGTCCTAGTGTTCTTCCCAGAACAGCCCACCATTGGCAGAAAAAAACAAAAACAAAATAAAACCTCTGACGGCTTAGAACCAGAACCAGTGTGTATTCATCTCTTCCTAACACAGCGCCGGGTGATTTCACGATGGCAGCAGTGGGAGTACTCCCATTGCAGAAGTTGGGAAAAGCTACAAAGCAGCTCCACTCCATCCTGAGAGCCAGTTGTTAAACACTTGCCAGCACACTATAGCTCAGATCTGTGCTAGGGTGACATCTCTCAGACCTTTCCACCTTGGGGTGAAAGAGAGCAACAGTCCTTGGAGGAGCATGCAACTCTCTCTCTCTCTCTCTCTCTCTCTCTCTCTCTCTGCCTCCCCTCCCCACTCATCCATAGCAGACGTTACTAATCAATCACAATTACTTTCCTTCGATGAGCCTAGACAAGGCTTCACAATTTTTTCCACCACAACCACTATCAATCAGCAGGACTGGCACATGAGATGGAACCTAGAACTAGAGTCATTTGGGGGAGAGACACAGGGACAAAAGCAGCTGGGCCCTTTTATGATTTACCAGGCTGGGTCCAACCTTGGTAAGCAGCAGAGATGGAGATGGACAGGCTGGGTGGCCTGTACCCCCCAGGCATACCTCATACCAAGTGTGGGACGATCATGAAATATAGCCCTCGCCTCCCCTCTCTATCCAGCTGTTGAGACTGGCAGAAGGACTGGGAGGTGCGATCCAGGGGTCATGCCTGTTCAGTTGGGCCCCGGCCCCACAAGTCCTCAGGCGATCTCCATTACTTCCAAACTGAGCTGCTGCCACACCTGGAGCTCCTGGGGAGCAATTTGAGTGGCCACTTTCCTATGGATTCCATAGAAGTG